TGGCGAGGGTGAAGAAAGACAAAAGTGGCGAGCCAAGTTTGTCTTTCTATCCAGAGCTGGAATTAGTTCGAGGAAATAAATGCCTCTCGGTTTTTCCATTGAGATTTGCACTTTATTTACAGTATATCTTCAGTGGTTGTATTTGAGACGCTGTATTTCAGAACTTGAACATCACAGTGGACAACGTGGTCCCCCAGCAGCCTTGGATCATCCTAGCTAGCGTGCTCAGTGGTATTCTTGGTATGGCTCTTCTTGGGTCTTGCTGTTTTTGGGGGCTGACCAAATTCTGGCCTCAGTCCAAAGGGGCCGTTGGAACTTCGTTAGACAATGATGCGTCTCTATCAACAACTAGCAAGCGTTGGCCCATCAATGCCCGTAAAATCGAAACTGTCGACAATCCTGTAAGTCTCCGACGGCCTGGGTCATATCGGCCATCTTCCATCTCCTCGACAATAGGCCTTTACCCACAGCCTAGTGTCTCGACCCCGACGGAATCAGGACTGTCAGCATTACCGCAATATAATAACATTTACTCAGCCTCGATGTCAGATCCCCTTATGCATAAATGTGGAAAAGTTTAATAGATAGAATAGAGGTTATGATTTATTTCCGACAAATTTACCATCACTCTTCGTTCCGCAAATGGACACCGCCGTGGATAAGAGAGATATTTTGAAACATCTGTATGTCTTATTGGCGCAAGACATATCAGATGGAGAATTTGTTGTTGTTATGAAACAATAATTTCCTCCTGGCGATTTTGTTTGGACTGTTTCCAGTTAATGAATATATGTGGAACTGCCAAAACGTTTATTGACACAGTTGACAATATCGACATAATGGTAATCTAAAGGCGATGAAAAGTGACGAAAGGTTTTCGTTTAGTCGTTCTTGGAGTTCCAATTCTTGCTGTTATCTAAATTTGTGTAGGTCAAATTGTAGTAGCGTTGATAGTTACCAGTGTACCTTTGAAAAAGATTCGTTAATTTTGGGTTGAAAAACATTCTACCGTTCCATCAGAACCATTTAGTCATATCATCAGTGTAACATGGTTATAACATACCAGGAAAAAGGGAAATGTGTTGAATATCAAACTGAAAGATCTTTGTTATTTGAAACATCACCGCAATAAAATGTGTAGGCTATTGCAGACCACAACGGATCCAACAGAGATTTTAAACAAAACATGTGTTGATCTAAATCAAGTCTTCCTAATTTTATTTGGTTCACTTACGTCTATTATACAAAGTCAAAAATAGGACGAATTACCGCTTGGTAATCACACTTTGCTAGAATACTTTTATGTGACATTTTATTTATATCTGAATAATAAAAAAATACGTTGTTTTCGTCTTGTATTTGTTTCAGTTACGTGAGTCTGTCATAGTCCTCCTAAGGATCAACTGCACTATTAACAGTGGTTGGAGTATTATACCCGCCTCTTATGGTAACACGTTCGGTATGATACTTCAGTTGTAATTCTGTGCAATCCCTCGTGTCAAAACCTTCGATATATTTGTCTGGTTATTCAGGGTTCGCTGTTCGGGAAGATTGTTTAATGAATTAATCTCGACGTCTGGTACATACTAACACGATAGTATTCTCAAACATGCCTAGTGTTTTGCGTCGAATGAAGTCTTGTCTGTTGGTAATATTGACCTCGTGATTAGGTAGAAACTGTCTGAAGTTGCAAAGAAAACGTATTCTGTCAGCTAATTTGCATTTTCAATGAGAAGAGGACGCTTTACGATTCTTCTCCAATATTTGTTGTCTGTATTGGTAATCAAGTTTACCGTTAGGTTTGTTTTGATGCATGTCATCTGGCAATTTAGACTATCGAGCAGTAAAATAAGGGGGGGGGGCACCAATTAAGGGGCACTATTAATAGATCCTGGGAGGCCTGGCTTCACGAAGTTTTGGACAAGGTTGCACTGCTTTATAGCATGACCGGTATTCCCTTAAAATAAGACTGTATGTGTTGTTGGTCGTATTCTACTGGATATTTATGTAGCGATGCTCTATCATATCGTGTGGACATTCAAAGTGATTAAAAAAGAATCTCATTGACAAAAGCAAACTGTAAATGTGATCAGCTTTGAACAGCTGATATATGCACATATGGTTTGAAACGCATGGTGCCGAAATCTTAAAATCTGTTAACACACTATTCAGCTTTTTTGCTTTTTAAAGGTAAACAAAACTCATAATTGCTAAGAGTTAAAAATTGCAGATCGCAAAGCATTATCTGTTTTATTTGTTTTTAACTCTGAACGAGGCAATCACAATTTCCTTCATGCAATTATATCAACCCAAAATGGTGTATATAATAACGGCTTAATATGCATTTTATTGATTTCCTTGTGTTCTTTTTAGGCAGTGCTTGTTTCGATATCAGAAGACATGCTTAAACGTGTATGTCACTCGTGTTCACTTTATAGACCAGTAGATCAACTCGGATGAAATTATTACGCAGCTTATCAAAACTGGGCATGCGTGTTCCCTCATTTCCGGTTCTCCATTCTCAGACGCAGGAAGTTCGGATACCGCGGCATCTGGTAACCTGCTGCTGCATCTTTAGCTTCCCGTTTGTAATGGGCGTCATGGATGTCAAAAAGCATCTATATCGGTCGGCAATGCTTGCTAAAGATTAACGACCATTACTTTCAAAGATGTAAGACGTAAGCAGGGCGCGGATAATGTGCGTGACTAATTTAGATTTTTTCCTACTTTCTGTCAAAACATAGATATCATGACGAATAACTGACCTTAAACATGGATTTAACTTTTGACCTGAGCTCCTTTGTCTACTTACTTGGCGCATCCCCGCTCACAAATAAGAACATATCGGCAGTCTTCACACAAATTCGCAGTTCTCGTCTTCTCCATCAACATATATCGTTCTACATGTTATGACAATGAAGGAAGCCTGCATGTGATAGTTATATTATAATGACGGTTTTCATAGAATTCCTTCATTTGGTTAGCTATTAACCCATGCATGTATTAATTCATTCATCCGAAATACACAACTAGATGGAGTTGTTAGGAAAATATAATAAATTCGCTTGTACAATTAACATAAAATGTTTGTAAGTAAAAACGAAAGTAAGAATTTAAAACATTACTATAAGACTTATTTCAACAGAATAAATGATTTAGAGTATATTGAGGAACTTACGCTAGGACAATAAACAATTCAAGAATGATTATATCAGAAAGGCAAGGATCATACGTACACTTTGTTTGAAATAGATGATCACGTGATTTCAAGAGAAGGCACATAATGATTAAAACTAGACCTAAATAAATAGAGATTTAATCATATTTTAGCAACGTTATAAAGATGACATGAAGAGGAAGATATTTAGTAGCCAACTCAAGCGAGGTCTGTATGAAAAGTAAACGCCTACAAAATTTATTAAATCCATAAAAATGAAGCACTTTGTAAATATTGAAACAGGTTGCTACCTGAATCATAAATGTGAGGTTTTAGATAATAGTCCTATTGATCTATCTCTGAAGGATCCGAGTTGGAAAAGTATTATAAAGCAGGGTGTGTATTAAATACTGAATATTTATTATGCACGTAAATCTGAATGGTTGAATGTTATTTCTCAACAAAGAAACCACTAACAACAAGGTCTTACTATTTAAGTCTGTATTAACTGTCGGTTCATCTCTTCCAGTCTTTTACATCACTTGACGTAAAGAATCCATACACTTCTGGAATATATTGCTAGGTATGACGCCTTTTCTTGTTAACTTATTTTAGATTTATTCATAACGTGAAAATTCAAACACTGAAACCAATACATAACAATAAATACATATAGTAATGCTGTTGAAAATAAATATTTCCTGAAAAGTGTGTAACAAGAAAACAACATGTTTATTATGTTTCAAACATTACAATACAATCGTGTTAATAAATCACTCGGCGATTTCCGTTGTAAAGATGGACGAAAGTGTTCGATTATTTCTGAAAAAGTAATGCTTAGTATCTAGTTCAGCAGTCAAAGAGCTCGGCCTGACTCACAAACGTTCAAATCTGCTCAAAGCTTAATTTGAGTGCAAGATTCAACTGCATAAGTAGAAACTCTTTGTAAATATAACTTAATGTGTTCGTTATATCGTGACAATTTCCATGTGATCAAATGCATAGATTTGTATTTTAAAACGACCTGAAAAGGACCTTTGTGTGTTGACGTTTAAATCAAGTTCCAAAACTTCGTTCATCGACATGCCTGAACAGGCCACATATCCTTTCCTGCATCAGTAATCTTTGATTCCAGCGGTTTTAAAACAAAGTTAAGACGTCAAATGAGATGACGTCATACGTCATCTTCCACGGACAAAGTGCCGGTTTTCAGCCCAGTCATTGAGTTAAACATGAGCAGTACATATGGTGGCCAGTAGGTTATGGCGGAGTACAGAAACAGACCCAAAACTGCAAATAAAATGGCATCTATTCAAAAGTCAAGGATGATATTTCAAATTATGATTACTTTCTTCGAGATCACCCCGCCCTCCTTCACTAGCGTAGGTCTGAAATGGCTACATATCTACATTGTAATTACTCGATGTAATTGGCCATATTTCTTATCATGTAAATTACTTGGTTAAAGTAATATGTGATGCAAATGATTTATCATGCCCCGGATGTAATGCAAAAATCGTACAATGAGGGTCCAGTGGAAGGGAGGATGATATAAATCTATAACACTAATTTGTGACTGCACCGAGTAGGTCAATTGTATTCAAAGATATGACACTGTTCGATACTGCTTGTAGATCTGTGAATGTTCTATGTTAAGTACACACTAATTTTCATTCCAGTGCTGAATTACGGTAATATGATATACAAAACAAAATCGTTTCTACGTCGTATCATTATATTATAACAAATATATAGTATTTTGTGTTTTTGGTTAAATACATTATTGTCAAGTGTATATTGTATGATTTATTAATGATAAATTGCAACGTCATGTATTGTATCGTTATGTATTGTATCGTATTGTATCGTTATGTATTGTATCGTATTGTATCGTGGTGTACTGTATCGTTATGTACTGTATCGTTATGTACTGTATCGTTATGTATTGTATCGTTATGTATTGTATAGTGATGTACTGTATCGTTATGTACTGTATCGTGGTGTATTGTATCGTGGTGTATTGTATCGTGGTGTATTGTATCGGTATGTATTGTATCGTGGTGTATTGTATCGTTATGTATTGTATCGTGATGTATTGTATATTATATATTGCACCGTTATGTATTGTATCGTGTTGTACTGTATCGTTATGTACTGTATCGTGGTGTATTGTATCGTGGTGTATTGTATCGTTATGTATTGTATCGTGGTGTATTGTATCGTGGTATATTGTATCGTTGTGTATTGTATCGTGATGTATTGTATCGTGATGTATTGTATCGTGATGTATTGTATCGTGGTGTATTGTATCGTTATGTATTGTATAGTGATGTATTGTATCGTGGTGTATTGTATCGTTGTGTATTGTATCGTTATGTATTGTATCGTGATGTATTGTATCGTGGTGTATTGTATCGTGATGTATTGTATCGTTATGTACTGTATCGTTATGTACTGTATCGTTATGTATTGTATCGTTATGTATTGTATCGTTATGTATTGTATCGTGGTGTATTGCATCGTGGTGTATTGTATCGTGATGTATTGTATCGTGATGTATTGTATCGTTATGTATTGTATAGTGATGTATTGTATCGTGGTGTACTGTATCGTTATGTACTGTATCGTGGTATATTGTATCGTGGTGTATTGTATCGTGATGTATTGTATCGTGATGTATTGTATATTATATATTGCACCGTTATGTATTGTATCGTGATGTACTGTATCGTTATGTACTGTATCGTGGTGTATTGTATCGTGGTGTATTGTATCGTTATGTATTGTATCGTGATGTATTGTATCGTGATGTATTGTATCGTGGTGTATTGTATCGTTATGTATTGTATAGTGATGTATTGTATCGTGGTATATTGTATCGTTGTGTATTGTATCGTTATGTATTGTATCGTGATGTATTGTATCGTTGTGTATTGTATCGTTGTGTATTGTATCGTTATGTATTGTATAGTGATGTATTGTATCGTGGTGTATTGTATCGTGATATATTGTATCGTTATGTACTGTATAGTGATGTATTGTATCGTGGTGTATTGTATCGTGGTGTATTGTATCGTGATATATTGTATCGTTATGTATTGTATCGTGGTGTATTGTATCGTGGTGTATTGTATCGTGGTGTATTGTATATTATATATTGCACCGTTATGTATTGTATCGTGGTGTATCGTTATCGTTATATATTGTGTCGTGGTGTATTGTATCGTTATGTATCGTCATGTATTGTATCGTTATATATTATACGGGTATGACCAATGTTCAGTATATCATCGATGTATTGGAAATAATTGTAATCATTGTACTGATAGGTATCAATGATTATAATTGTGTTATGTTATTTTTAATACATTGTTATGTAGTTAGTTGTAATAAATTGTAATATTTTTATTCTAAATACTTTGTTTTTTACGTAATTAATAACTTATGATGGGTATTTTTGTAATACATTACATTGTTATTTTAATTGCCATACATTGTATTATTACATTATTTGTAATAATTGTACTATTATATTTATTTGCAAGACAATGTTATACTCAAAGTAATACGGTGCACTGTTACGTTATTCGCAATACCTTACAGTATAATGTGTTAATTGTATGACGCATCTTGTGATGTTGGTTTGACACGGATCAATATTTTCACGGGTATACAGAACAATGCAAAACCTGTCAATAGATCATCACAACTTATAAATAGCATGCTACAGCTACATCTACGCTTTAAGAAACCCTACTATTCGTCGTCCGTAACATTTACACAATACATCTTATCAATCTGATACCTGACACCTCTCGGGTCGGTCTATCCAGAGGTAGCACAGTGTAAACACCACGGCCGATGACCTGCCGGGGCGTGTATTGTGCAGAGCATTATTAGCTTACCAAACGAACTATTAACGTTATGAAAAAAAAACAGAATATTTCTAAACCAAAACTACAGCCGTTTCTTAATGCCTTCAAACGCTCACGTGACATGGCGAAGGTATGTGGTGTAGACTTTATATAGATATTATAGAGAAGATATATTTCATTCGTTATGTTAACCAGGGACGTATAATACAGTATTATACGTCCCTGGTTTATCAAACTAACAAGGATTACAAACCAAGTTCATGTTTACAAAAAGCTGTTACTTACAGGCGCTGATCACATTCCCAAGTATGTCAACTATTTCAAATTTGTAACGTTTGGATACATTCTATTCTACGTGAATAATTCATCAAATTTAAAAGACAAAAAGTATACAAAGTTGAGTTTTATAAAGGATACGAAAAAAAATCTTCTCAACTGGTTCCATCATGTACATAGCACTAAAAATCTCCCATTTGAAGTACCAGTATCCACAAGTAAACTTAAATCTCTGCCAAACTTCCATGTTGATAAAGTTCACAGCCTTCTCAATGTCGGTATCAAATAAACATGACAACTAGGTGACGAAATGTGGTCACTAGGTGTAGAAACACAAAACGTTGAGTTCAAGAGCGACACGTATATCACTGTCCAGTTCGTTTTCCACTTCCCTGGTAATGTAGTGCCCAACTCGTGGTTCTATCACATAAATGTCTGGTGACGTAGAAGTCTGGTTTATTCCAAGTCACCTGTAAAACATAACCGTACAAAGGCTATGATCTTTGTCGGTCGAACGTTTTAACACTACACGGAACCCTTATTACACATGTATGAACGCAGTGATCAAATGGGTACACACAAACAATGACAACGGCATCGTGTATCGACAGGAACTGAATGATGACTGTTCTGGCTCGTGTTATAGTAAACACACTCTAGATATTGCCGCACGCACGAACCCACCCGATATCAACATAGCAGACTTCACCTGCCTTACCCAAACAGCGTCTAGGCTTTATCTTCCAATTCAGGTTTTGTGTTCCTGGAATTGGAAATCTGTCAAACCGCTCCCACCTTTTTTTAACGTTTAAACAACCTGTTTGTTTAATAACATCGCAACATTAACAATAATTATCAACCTTTAGAGAATTTGTAGAATTCCAGTATTACCAACAGATAACTTAATATTGCGTGTTACCCGACTCAACGGACACACGTCTCCCATTCAATACCGTGCTAACACAGAGTGAATTATTTAACATTTCTTCCAGCATGCATGTCAAATTTTACCGAAGTGAGTTAATCGATACTTTCTCAGTATAGAGTAACACAAAATTATTGCGGTATTTTACGACAATAGTCTATATGGTAGGTGTATTATTGATAAAACTATCAGAATGTAGTAGCAACACCATCCTGTAATATGCATTTATGCCCGAAAGGCTGAATGATCGACTTAGCCAAGACAGACAACATTTGACTGCAATTTTTGAATAATTTTGCGTCTCAGGAAACGAGCTGGCCCAACGTAGTTATTTTTTCAGTGTACTGTTCACGCTAAACGACTTAAAATTATTCTAAACGTTCAATAAACAAATGGTTGTAAGTGAGAGACGTTCCTCGCGAAAACTTTTTAATCCGTGACTTTTGGAATTCATCAAAACCGCTCTTTGTCCATATGCCGGGAGCACTTTAAATGAATTGAAAAGATCACTATGATGTTGACAGAAAACTAATTTCATTTTCAACTTCAAGAAAGACGTATTGATGGTTATAGGTAAAACCAATTGACATGCTAAAAACACGTACATAACACTCCGCACCACTTTCCCGTAACATGAATGCTGATAGATAATAACGTTAGTTCCGCAGGTTTGTATCCTGCACCCGTTGCTGGATGATACCGACAAATAAACAGCATTTCTGACCTTTAAAGTCGGCTAAGATCCCCGTATATGAAACCGAACTGCTTCCATAAAGGTTTTGAATACGCCCGATATTGAATATCCATTTAGAATAGCTTGATTTCACAACTTTTCGGTTATTGTCGTTCATGTATAAGATAAGTCATCATGTATTGCAGAAATCGAATCTACCGTTCAGTGCCATATTTCGGTCCCCAATGTTTGCTTTCTCTTTTGTCTATCTCTCGGACTGTCAGTGTGTCCTTACTGTACCTTCACATGACCTTAGCTATTGCCTTATTTGAACCCCAAAAAGTGGAATTTGAAGTAATACATTACAATGTGTTATATAACAAATATTGAGACTAACGTTAGACTTACCAAGAATGCTGCAAATGTAAATTCCCTTGTACAGTATAGTTCAATCCCCACTCATGGATTCATGGACTGTCTATCATATGCAAGATACAGGCCTCTGTCAATTCCCGATTTAAATGCCCATGTATCCGATGTATTCTCTTTTTAAAAATAATCAGTTTCCTTTCATTACTAGTTCGTTCGATCTTGAGTCTAGCTTCCGTCCTGTTTCCCATAGATACAACTTAATGTGGATCCACGATTAGTGTTAGACTGCTGTCTATTTACGTGTATATAGTCCTGATGGTTTACGCAGTTTCTGTAAATGGGGATTGATCGGTAGCAAGTATGGAATTGTGTAGTCAGAGCGTCCCATTCACTTTTCAGCATCTAAACGTCTCTTATACACTTTGTACCTCCTGTTTAAGTTTGACATCCAACCGAGGATACCTAAGGGAATAGTATTGGGCACTATGGTTAAGGAATGAAGCGCGAAATCAGCGGACCATGTGATTTTTACAATGCATCACTGGGTTTGAGTACCCGAAGGCTTCAGAGATTACGTTTCGGAAAATTTCAGGAAAATAACACAAAACTATTTTTTTTCTCCTAAAACAGGGACTCTGTACAAAGCCCCTACCCTACTGTCGATAAGACCGCACTGCCATTGGTCTACTGAAGAACCTACCACACAGTAGGTAGTAGTTTAACTCACGACGAGGACTGATATTTTTATTTTCACATAAACTGGGATGCAAGTGGTTGATTTACCCAAATTAACCCAAACAAACGACCCATTTCGTAGTTTTAATTTATGTTTTTGTTTAACCAGGATTTAGAATTTAATGTGTTGAAGAAACCAAAAATTGTTGACTACTATTCTAGAATTTTGATATTGGTCAAAAGATTTGCTTGATTTCTGATCTGAATAACTAAAACAGCCATATATTGATGCCCTAAGTGTGACATCATGCTTTCAAGTGATATTCCTTCAGATAAACAACAGACAATTCTTTACGTTATTCAATTCTAGATTTTATTTCACATTTTGTCTTAATTAGTCATCTTCGATGCTAGAATTATAAATCAAGACAACACTGGAAAATTAATGTTAGGCATGAACCAAAGTTAGCTCAAAACATCAGACAAGCATATAATGTACTTGCACAAGCACCATTGAACAAACTGTTGAAATCACAGTTTATCATTGTAAATTATTCAAACAGGCTTTAAAAAATTATTCTGGTAATTATTTCTTCATCAAAATTTCAGCAAAATCCAATGTTCTTGTTGAAATTTAGAAGAATTAGCTATGGAACATTTGGCAGAGTTTTTAGGAGACTTATAGTTACTTCATCGTTGTTGAATATTACTATGTTATGCAACTACAAATGTATAGGAAATATGTTTGGATGATATATCCACAGTGTCTACAATGTTAGTGCTATCACCACAGAAATATGTACTGTCACTAAATCTTCCACTTTGAAAAAATTCCAACATGATATCTAACTGCTGACTTTTCAACAGACACATATATAAAGCTGAGCCTTGAACATCTAGCAACTTTTAATCTCAGTAAAAGTGACTATAGAAAAAAAAAAATGATTTCTGGGAGATTACCTATAATAATGAGCTGATGTGTCCTAACACTGACAGAACACTGGTCAAGTCAAATTTGTATGGGCTGTATAAACAAGGCTCGGCTTTAATCACAAACTGACAATACTTGAACATATAATTTTTTGTTCACTAATGAAAAATAGATATTGGTAAACAACATTATGCAAACTTTTATCAATAATGACACGCATATCCAATACAATGACATTTAAACAGTTGCCTTGGTGGCCTTGTGTTACCTACAGAGACCTACCTGGCTTCAGAGTTTAGACCTCCCTGTCTTGACAATCATCGTTGTTTCTTCTTTTTTAATGACTAAGATTTAATAAAGTTAATAAGGATGCGGAATGTTTCTCAATAGGAAAATAATTTCTATACCAAACATTTTGAAAACCTTATATCTTATCAAATTAAACTGGACTTTACTCAATTTTTCAATCGATAAATTTTTATTTGACTGATGAAGAACCTTCTGACAACTACTGTGTGAACAGCAGAGTTTTGAAATAAGCACCAATAAGTAGGCAAGCTTATACATCAATAACATAACTCATTGCTTCTCTCTGTATCTGACAGAAGCCAGGATTTTACCACAACTCAACCTCTCCAAACTGAGGTATATTTTAAAAACACCTTGTCATAAATCAGTGGAATGAATTTTTTCTGGGCCATTTGTTTTCAACTTTTCACTCAAGAATCACACTCCTAAAAATATCCAAATGCTTTTCCGACTCTAACATAACTGGTAGTAATCATGAAAACAAAAGCTTAGCAGTATCCTTAGTTAGATTTTTTTTATAATAAAATGTTCTGTATAGAAATTAATTAGTGACAGAGTTGATACTTAACCTGAATGATGTTGAGAACACATCTGTCAAACTTACACTGGTACATGTGGGCAAAGACATATGCCTAACTTACTGCAATGGGGCAGACGACATATCTGTCTAACTGATGATGGCACTGCACCAGCACTGACACATCTATCTAACATATAGTGGCATGTGAATTGACACATCTACCTTATTCACAGTGGCACATGTGGGTAATACATTTGCCTAACATTCACCGAGATATGAAGAAAATACATTTGCCTAATATACACTTGCCCTTAGAGTGGCACATGCAGGTGACACACCTGCCTACATATGTTCCTTATGGTGACACATATACACGGCATACCTGCCTACATATGTACCTTACAGTGACACATGTACACGACACACCTGCCTACATATGTACCTTACAGTGACACATGTACACGACACACCTGCCTACATATGTACCTTACAGTGACACATGTACACATCACACCTGCCTACATATGTACCTTACAGTGACATATGTACATGACACACCTGCCTACATATGTACCTTACAGTGACACATGTACACGACACACCTGCCTACATATGTACCTTACAGTGACACATGTACACAACACATCTGCCTACATATGTTCCTTATGGTGACACATATACACGGCACACTTGCCTACATATGTATCTTACAGTGACACATGTACACGTCACACCTGTTTGACTGACACTGGCTTTTACTCACATGAATGTGACACATTTGCCCAACTTGCATTCACTGACACAAACACACAGGGATGACAGTAGTGATATACGTATATTTAATAGTACTATATGTAGTAATGAACATGTAGTTGGTCCATGTGATTTTTTTTTCTTATATGCGCTAATATGATTGGATGGTCCAATGTTTTACCTGTCATTTTTGATGTGTAGATAATATGTCTCTCTCACATACACACTCTTACACTTATTGCAAATGTACTTTATCCATCATCATCAAAGAGACACGGATGAGACATGGACCTTATCAATGTTCACAGAAACAATGGTGAAGCATGTGTCTTACCGAAGTTCAGAGAAGTATCAGGATGACATATGTCTTACAAGATATCAGAGACATGTGTCTTGCTAAAATTTATGGAAACATGTAGATGAAATATGTGTCTCATAAGAGGTATGAGACTTGTGTTTAACATGTGTCTCATGACAGGTCAGATACATATGGATGGGACCTGTGCCAGAGACATGTGAATGACACATGTGTCTTATCACTGTTCTCAGAAACCTATAGGTGACACATGTGCCTTCACTGAAACACATTTGATTTATTTTGCACTTCTATACACCATTAATTATGATAACACACCTTCCTCTAATACACCACTAACACGCCAATGGCTAAGAAGTAATATTAAGACTCTGTACTATTCGATGATACACTATAAATTATTTTTAACAAATAACATAATTATTTAAAACAATGCAATTACCTGCACAAATGGTCAGCTAGCACTGAAGATAAGGAAATGTATTTATTCATAATTAAACATGAACATTTTGATTTAACTTTGAACAACAACTTTTGATACATAAATAAGTAAATGAAGAATTTCATCACAGAACAATGTGGCCGTAATGGGCCAATATATACTAATAAATAATAATAAAAATACATATTTATCACAATAATCAACATTCTGTTTAGGGGATATAGCTGATATTTGTCATCTCTATGTCTCCTGAGTCATATCACAGATCCTACTTTACACTAATCGTATAATGCATACATGTTTCACTATGTCTGATCACTGTATTATTATTTACTGGGTTTATAAAATTGATTATACATAGACTGCTCTCTCAGAATAAATTACAATTTTGCAATCAGTCCATATCAAACCACCATGTTTATCTTTGATATGTACTTTGAATTTGTTTAGTTAAAAACCAAATAATATCAGTGGTTTTACCAAGTTATACACAAGTATTCTAAAGAAAAGAATAACTTTTTTCACAACCAACAACAGCAGGTATATATGGTAGATAGATATAAGATATATCCCCTTAAAATGTTTAATACATACACATGATTGAACTTTTTTAAAGTTTCATTTTGACATGAAAAAATACAACTATTTAAATCAGTGTTTGCAGTGACATGAGAATATTTTGCATGAAATATTACAAAAATAATTAGAATTTCTTATTGAATTTCATAAAACATATATGTGCAAAACATCAACCTGCACATAAGTATAGTGGGCAGCATACATACAGAAATATATCATTAAAATGATAAGTAAGCAAAGTATCACAACTCGTATCGATAAATATCTTCATCCAGCTTGCAACTCAGTAAATTTGGTTACAATATGGCTTTGTGGCCCACTTGACAGGCATCAACTGTACATTTGTAGCTAGGTGACGGAGGTCTTTCTGTGGTTACGAAGGTGATGAGGTAAAATGGTTTCCATATAAACAATGTTTATGGCATTGTGTTGCTAGGCACACTTACACATAATGGCAAACAGTCTTACCCTTTCATTTATGAATTTTTTTTATATCACCATTGTAGTAAGTTCATTATATGAAATATAAATGAACACATATGTGACTGAACAATCAGAAGATCAAAGGTCAATGGAAGTTCAAGGCCACTAAGAGACCATCTACACACGGCATGATGAGAAGATTGCATGTCCAGTATGTATTGCACAGTCAGGAGGGTAAGTCATTCCCCATGTTACACTGGTAAGTCGCTCCACTGTACACAGGTAGGTAAGTCCTACCTGTTACACTGGTGAGTCGTTCCACTGTACACAGGTAGGTAAGTCCTACCCATTACACTGGTGAGTTGTTCCACTGTACACAGGTAGGTTAGTCCTACCCATTACACTGGTGAGTTGTTCCCCTTTTACAGGAACGGATACCATCCACTGTCAGTCTCTATCCTGATATACTGGTGGAATTGATAGAATATTCTGGTGAACCATGGACTACTACTGCTGAACAGTGTCACTGAAATCTCTACAAATCTGCGGATGATGTTGATTAGTCTCCCAACCTTGATGGTCAGCATACATGTCACAACTTTCTTGTTCATCCACTGAGGATCATTAACAAACTGAGAAGTGTGTTTATCAGATTGTGCTATCTCTTGTTGTTCTTTGCATGGTTGATCCTGTAAACAGACAGATGGAAAATGTAAACAATACTTATATAAAATGTATACCAAACACAAAACATCATCATCATCATCATCATCATCATTGTACCAATAACTATCAGTTGATTTAAAGTCAATTAAAAATCCTTTAATTATACTTTTATGTCTTTCCTTTCCAGACAATAACTACAAGTCCTTAAACAAGTAAACAATTAGAGTAACTACTTCGGGGCTATAATTTTTGATGGCATTATGAAACCTATAAATATTATTATTTAGAATTTTCGCATAAATTGAAGTTGACAAGTCTTGAATTATATCAAGTTTGGTAACTTTACAACACAAACTTAGTAATAACAGACAGATGTTTCAATACAATCACTGTTAGGCATACAACATATACAGGAACTGACTTATCACAAAATGAAACACAGATTTTTTGTTCACAGCAAATTAAAAAAAAATTATATACACAGCAGTTGACTTCTATAAACTTCAATAGACATTTAATTCTTTTTACATCTTAAGCAAATTAATTTCAAATTTTGTTAATTAACATCACTATGCTTCTAAACAGTAAATATGCAGTCAAATTTACTTACATAACAAGTGTCAATATTGGGTCTGAATCTGTGTACGCTAATTATCGCTGATTTACATCAATAAATATTTCTTTATCAATTTTCTAATATATGATACCTCTACCATGGTGAGCAAGTCTACAGCAATGCAAAGGTGTGATAAAGTTACAAACAACACAAGATAGATTCTTAAACTGAAGCAAGAGCCTGTGCAGAAATAATGCAGTACTCGTACATACATTTCTGTGCGCTAAGCTTGTGAAGAGTACATAAGGAGGGTCATGACCGGTGAATGTATAATAATTATATGTAATTTCCATAGAAAAGGGACACCAATGTTTCCCACATGCAGTGTTCACTGTTATATAAACTATCCCGTGAATAATGAGAAATAATAATTTAAAAAAAATCAATGAAATATAGAAATAAAAACAAAATCGTGCCTTCCTGTATTTCCTTGAGGAAATCACAAAACCTGGCAAAGTTAAAAGCAAAATTATAAAAGGCCGACCCGATAAAATTGCTGAGAAAAGATAATTTTTAAATAAAAAATAGAGATAAGGTAAGAAATTATGTGTTCAATAATACCAGGGTCCCAGCAACCTTTAGCTATAGTACTCAATAAATTACCCGGTCTCTGGAACTTACATAACATTAGTGAGTGGTTACATGTATTAGTACAGGAACCCTGGACATCCTCTGAGGGAGGCTAGGTTGTCTTCTACTAATCCAACATATTATACTAACTTTTCTTACATCATTGTTCATGGAGCTGACATAGAAAATCAATACATCAAATTGTCATTTCCAATGATTTTAATTATCAGTAGATATCTGATCAAAATAAAACACTAGTTATAGATATAAAGAGCCTTTTCATCAGTTTGTTTCAGTACTGAGGTAAATAACCATAAAAAAAAATAATAATCACATTCTTTTGGAAACAATTTAATGTGAAGATATCACTCTGGCACTGTCCCCTCTTGCTTGTTGAAGTGTGTTAAACTCTGAATTTAGAACAAATAGTAAACATTGCCTCCTGATATATGTAAATATGTGCTAGAAAATATCAATAAATAAACTTTGATGCAAATTTCTGACAAGTGAAATGTCCACTCCTATCTGGTAACAGAAACAAAACAATAAAACCATGATGACATTATTTCAACTTCTCTAGGGGTAGTTATCAACAATCAGATATATCAACACATGTATCAACAGAGATGTTGAACGAGATCCTAAATGTGCTCACTGAAACAAAGGGAGCTAATGTTGAATGAGATCATAAATGTACTGACTGAAGTCAAAGGGGATAACGTTTTTTTTAAAGAGATCCTTAGTCTGCTGACAAAGAAATAAAGTTGCACAAGACCCTAATTTTGCTAAGGACAAAGGAGATAAAGCTGTACAAGATCCACAATGTTCTGACTGAATCAAGGGAGATAAAGCTGTACAAGATCCACAATGTTCGGACTGAATCAAGGGAGATAAAGCTGTACAAAATCCTAAATCTGCTGACTGAATCAAGGGAGATAAAGCTACACAAGATCCCAATTTTGCAAAGGACAATGGAGTTAAGTTATATGAGATCCTAAATCTGCTGACTGAATCAAAGGTGATAAAGCTGTACAAGATCCAAAATAAAGCTGTACAAGATCCAAAATGTTCTGACAGAATCAAGGGAGATAAAGCTGTACAAGATCCTAAATCTGCTGACTGGGAGATAAAGTTGTATGAGGCATTCACCTTGAAAAAGCATCAGATTAAAATTCAAGAGAAGAAATCAAACTTTTCAACAGTCACCCAGAAAGACAACTAGTGTATGACAAGGATGCATCCTTAAGCTAGAGAATTTGAATCTCAACAATAGTTCAATCTATGTCAGCAAGCAAGAGGAGGTCATATAAAAGTTGTTCCTGAAACTAGCTTAGATCTGATCAATTAATTACTAGACATCATAAATACCCTACCTTTGTAACACTCATGTATGTGTTTCTCTGTGATCAACAAAACAATACTGGAATTTTTGTTTATTTCTCTAATGTCTAAATAAATCTCATATGAATTACATGTGATATTCCAAATTCCAAACCAACACACAAACAAGTGCCACTTCATTTTAAAATCTTCCAAATTATAGATGTAAATTTATCATTTATTGAAATTAGCAGTGATCTAATTTTTTTTTCAAAAAAGTAAAAAGAATGATTATGAATATGCAAATTAGCAGTGATATTAACATTCCCTCAGAAGATGCAGCAGGCAGTGGATATATACCTTGAAAACCACTCAACATACTCAGATTGTGTGGGTGGGTTGACATAGGGTATTTGATTGAGATAGAACTGCGGCCGGTTGCCAGCGTTTGTGGTATAGGAGAAACCACCGTAACCTTGACCCTGTTGCATGTTGACCACTGTGTTGCCCCGATTGAGACCCACACCATTACCATTTTCTGACCCTTTCGTTGTCCGTCGACGACCACCACCTACAAAACAACATAAAAATGCATAAGTAACATAAAAGTACATGACTGTATTTTGAACAGAAAGACAAACCTAAGAATTGTAATAATCTTTAAATGTTTTTTGTTTAGAAAATCTCCTATTCTAAATAAAAATAAAAGAAAATGGGGATAAATTAATAGTGAAAGTCATCTGCAAAATTTATTTGCTTAGAAAAAAGAATAATGTGTGATATAAATAGTAGATAAAAATAGACTTCATAAATAACCTAAATCTTTGGCTGACCAAGGAAATAATTATCTTTTAATTTACATTATATATACATATATAAACAATAGAAAGTAAATATAAATAAAATTACAAAATACCAATCATAGATGTGTGTGCATCATATAAAGAAAATATTGTGAAAATGATAAATTTTGTAAAACAATACTATATTTTATTAAAAAAAAAAAATGAGAGAAATACAAAAATATGCCTGTTCTGAAATGTGACTCTCATACCAATATTTTTATAAAACAAGATTAAAATTCTAAACAACTCATGATAACCTTGGGTGGTGCTTGGAATATTATGCTGAGACTAGCGATACCATAACCATTAACACTAATTTTACAGTAACCTTTGATTCGACTGACGCAATAACCTTTGACCTAATGATGTCATTAACTTTCATCCTATATTATTTTCATTATTTCAGCACTTGGCTGTACCACAAATTTCAATCTTTGTCAATTTTCAAATGCAAAATGTTAAAAAACTTACAGACAATGGGATAATTATCTAGTACATTATATTTCACAAATGTACAGATGTGTGTGACATACCAGCAGGACAAAATCTGGTGTCCGACAAATACTTACTATCCACAGAACTCATCACAGCAGCTTCATATATATATATACAGGGAACACATTTAAAGTCATGCAATGGAGTTAGAACAATCCATCCTCAAATACATGTTCACAAAGTAATACTTACCAGTACTGACCACTAAAAACAAAATGTGTAGCATTCAGCGATTTTTTCAATGTTCTAATATAGAAAACTAGGGAATAAAATCACACTTTCTGATTTTTTGAAATTTGTTTTCAGAAATAGAATTCCATATAAAGTAAAAATGTTGCCAATGTTACCAGGTTGGATACTGTATGGATGTATTACCAAGTGTAAAGTACGGAAATTTGCTAAAATAATTCAGACAGTCTTACACACGATCCTGTCAAGTTTACATCAATTTAATGACCTCAGGACCAACAGCTGTGAAAACTGTCATGTGAGCTGTCCAACCATCACCATGTCAAATTTGACACACAGAAAACCTAGACACATCAGAGCATTTCCATAAAGTTTTTAAAATCAGTTGCTGAATTCAAATACAGCATAAAACAATGAACACCACATTCTTGTGAAACATATGGTGTAGCAATTTCAATATCTAGTATGATCTTCTATTAGTTCAACTATTTTTCAAAAATGTTCTTTGTTCATATACCATAAACTCACCTCTTTGTAAGGATTCTGAAGGCTCATTGTCATACAACACTCCACCATTCCACATAGGAGAGGTCCCCAAGTTCATTGTGGTCACCTTGACCGGTACCTGAGCCTTGTACTGACTGATGCCAGGGAGTGTGCCATCTGATACTGGTCCCTGGGTAGTCATCACAGGCTGTATTGGGTTCACCAAAAAGTATACTTATCATACCATTAAACTCCGACATTCAAAGGGAGGTAATCAATTTAAATCATTGGGACAAAACTGCTAAAATGTAGTTAGATTGTTAATCTTCAAATTTATCTTACATAATTTTCAGTCTATGAATGTAATAGAATGTACCTGATCTGTTTAAAAATTTAAAAAAAAAAAAAAAAGTTATTAAATTCCTATAGAAAAAAAAACTCAAGTACATATTCTGACCTGCTGGTCCATGAAATAAAGTTCTGCCTTCGTTCGCTCCTCCTCACTGACTGGTAAACCATCAATCACTAGTAACTGCTTCAGCTTGTATACAAGTAAAGGACGATGCAGGTGTCGGCGTGCAGCCTGGAGGAGAAACCATGTACCTTATGTATGAATTACAGCTTTTTTTTTTGAAGAAAGTAGACACAGAAGTTGTTTTTATTATTTGAAAGTTTTCATTTTCAATGTTCTTGTGCATAAATTGAGACAATATTTTTCCATGGAATGAAGCGTCCATGAAATAGTAATTTTTGAAAAAGCATGAAAAAGTTGAACCCAAAGATGATTTTACAGTATTTAGTTAATGAAAACAACATGTAATTTATGTTTATCTTTATGATATTACTCTGATTAATTTGGGAAAAAAATATCTGCTTTAAAATAACAATGGTCAACCCATAATGTAATAGTGAACCTCTAGATAAAACTGTTGATACTCACAGCATTGTTGACAAGAGATATTTCAATCAAATTATTTAGGCCTTCCAGCTTCTGTAGTTCTGACACTTCCTGAAAATGTGAAAATCTATGTTACAATCTTTAGATAAAAGGAAAGACCATTCTGTTCCTTCAAATATCCTTAAAACAAAATTTAAACATCATACTTTGCTAACAGGATCGAACATCAAATTGACAATAGTTGTTGATAGCACCAATAAAATTCCCTGAATTACAGTGCCAGACCTATCTGTTTGGATTAGAACCAGTAATATCCCCTGAAATATAGTGCTAGACCCACCTGTTTGCGTTAGAACCAGGAATATCCACTGAATTTAACTGATTGACAGAAAACTCACTGTATATCGTTACAACCAGGAATGTCTTCTGACCTATACTGCTAGACCCACCTGTACACAGTTAGAACCAGGAATATCCCCTGACCTACACTGTTAGACAGAAAACTCACCTGTATACGGTTAGAACCAAGGTACATCCTCTGAAGGTGCTCCATACAGCTGAGATTTGACAGGTCCCGTATCCGGTTCTCCTCCAGGTGGAGCTCCTGTAGGTTCCACTGATTGGCAAATGACATCTCGGAGATGCTCTTGATCCTGTTCCTATCTAGCACTAGCTCCCGTAAATCATGTAGTCCTTCTATACCCTCTACCTTAGTGATATCATTTCCTGGAGAAGTATGAACAGCATTAAATCATTTTTGTTTGAACAATGATGTGCTGAAATGAAACACTAAACATTCCTTTATATCCTGTTAGAAATTCCAACTTGAATTGCATGTAAAGTATTGTTGTGTTTAAATTCACACAATCACAGGACCTTACAGTACCTCTTCTTAATAAGAAACAATTGACAGAATTTTCCTGTCCTTACATACACCACAACGTTGGTAAATACCCATGCCAATACTTTCTGGGAATCAAATACCCTTCTATCTTGTACTAGGAGTCAAACCAGTTCACTACTCACAACGTTTTACAGGACAGGTCACAATTACATGTAGGATGAGAAATTGTGCTTTAAACAAAATTATAAACACTTTCAAACAGAAAAACACAGAACTCTCTGAAATATGATGGAGATTTTTGCATGCCTAATCTTTTATGTGAAACACAAACAAACAAACAAAAAAAAAAAAAAAACTAAAACAAAACAAACATAAAACAAAACAAAAACAGAAAACCCCATTACAATCAGAATTAAGTGTTTGTAATACCAGATAGAATTTCAAATTCGAAGATTTCTAGTGCTTTAAGTCAAAATATCAAAAAATAAAATTTTCAAACAATACCATGTGCTTGTAAGTATAGAACACTATGTCATGTATCAGAAATACTGACAAGTAAATGGTCAAAGTGTAAACTCTGTAGACAAGATAGCTTGATATAATGATCAGATATAGAAACGTTCAGTATCTTGTGTGAGAGACAATGTCACTGATTTTTAAATTCTGGTTCTATTACAGTTCTGTCTAACACAATACTGTCAAGAGTGTTTGAAAACTGACCTTGGAGGAAGAGGGCCTTTAGTGAAGTTAGTCTGCTCAGCTGCAAAGTGGCCAAGTCCTTGATGCTGTTGTAACTGTTAAACAAAAAAAACTTTTTCATGTGACGTTTTATGAAAATTTGGACTGATTTGTCCTAGCATACATTTCTCATGAATATGTCATTGTGTTTATAAACATGCACCTACCCTAAATGTAGCACCTCCAGATTCTCCATAATAGGTGTCAGAGTTCCATCGTTAAGGAAGTCCAGATTCCTGACATTGGCCATGGTCACTGTGGTCTTCTGTTTTGCGACAGGTTTTGATTTTGGCATGATACACTCAATATGATTGTGGTTGAGACAAAGCACTCGTATGTTTGGTAGATGAATTAGGCCACTGAACGAGGTCAAATTGTTGTGTTCTAGGTTTACACTGGAAAGCACATCAAACACAGAATTAAAGTTCAGTAAAATATATCTTAAATATAATAATACACTGTGTATTGAAATTTCAAACAGATCTGGTGGATCAGCTTCATGTAAATGTTTTAGAATCCTGAGAGTATGAACAAAGATTGGAACATTTCATAGAAAAGAAATATAGTATTCTCTGTGTTTTATAATTCTATACAATTGGTGCCTAGTGATAGTTGGTCTAGCCCAAGTATCTTGTTCACTTTGTCTTCTCAAGCTGGAAGGGAGCATTACCTGCGCAGATTGATGAATGTGTCCCCTGCCCCAAGGTCAACAATTCTGATGGAACAGTTGGGAAGGTCAAGCTCTCGTACATCCTGGAAGTTGGAATGGCTAAGTTTCTCTGCAACAAAGTCTGGAGTGAGGCGACCTCCAAACGTGTCTTTGGCCATGCTTCCTTCTGTAGCCTCCTAACAATGATACGAGTGTTAAGGTTTTGAATGGCATGAAGAATTTACAAAATTCTAAAGAAATATCATAATTTATGATAACTGTGATTCAAGAGAAATGGGCTTCCACTGAACTGGTTACATTTCTGTGAAATGTTGACTGTGTATATACTAATATTGGTCATTGCACTATCACATGCATGTGGCATGTTAAAATATAGGTAATTGAAAAATTATTGATTGACAACAGGAGATAAGTAAAGGTTAACATGCTTGTCTACTGATTTAATGTATCACAACCTGAGTAAAAAAAGGTTAAACATGCAAGAATGCATTGCATCAACACATACTATGAAGAATCCTGGCATGCACTGTGAATGGTTATCAATACGTGTACATGTAAAGGGCATGTAAAATTGCAGCTTTTGGTTATGAATGGTGAATTATGGGGCTGGGGGTTTGCATGCAAGGCCATCGTGTCATGAGTATAACACAAAGTCAGCACACAGTTACAGAGATTCCATATATATCTCTGGTACAATGTAAAACTTAGTTAACTTTCTAATTTTTATTGTGATGTATGTAAATTGTAAAAAAAAATACATTTCCTTTGCAATATCAATATATACATATATTTTAGCTTAAACTATTACTATTTAAGTACAAATTTCACTTTATTTTGTTACCTATGCAAAAAAAAAAAGATAAAACAATGTTTTATTTCATGTATTAAGATGTAAAATTTCTACTGAACTTTTGATAAAATAAATGTGTAAACACGAACTTATTCACCTGTTCTCAATATATATCAGTAATAAAAGCTAAATATGTTACTGGAGCCATCATCTGTTAGAGACCCTATGAAAATTAGTCCTGTACCTACTTCATTGCCCGTATCTCCCGTTAACACAATGTGTTTGTAAGCCTGTACTTCCATAAAAAACACCAGTACCATTGTCACCACACACCATTGTCATTTAACTTAACCCTATCTACAATTAGTAGCTCTTCCTTTTCAATAAAGAATAATAATAAAAAATAATAATAATTTCATTTACATCTTATAAAACTACTTTATTTCACAAGGAATATCTTTTAATGGTCAGGTAATATTCACTAAGCAAACTTAATCCCCAAACAATTAATCATTAGAGTTGTCCGAGCATTTTCTGATGAATTAGTAACATCCACGAGTACAGAAAGCAGAACTTTGTATTAATATTACTGGTGCTTTACAAAGCGTGAGTGGCTGAAGGTAGGAGCACTTCACAACTCTTACCAACAAAGTTTTGTCACGCACAAATTTCATAGCACTGAAATATGGCCTGTCCATCAACTTAAGAGCTGAGGGCTTCACTTTCTGAAATTGTTAACCATTTATTGAAGAATAAGAAACAAAACTTATTTTTAAAAAAAGTTGATAAAATATGAAAGTTTTTACTAACGAAAAAGCCCAGATTACTATGTATTGTAAGTCAGTTTGATATGGAAGAAACCATTGGTCACCAGATAGAAAAGTGTTAAATTTTACAGAGCTCCCATTATTTCATTTCAACATTGATATTTAGAGATATTCCTATTTACGAGAATCTGACTTGTGTATAACTGTCTGTATTGACTCTTGCTGGTGTTTGTGAACAATGTAAATGAAAGTAAACATGTCTAGGGACTTTTTTGTGGCTGAATTAGTGAATATGACTGTGCTGGACACTTTAGGAAAAATGCATGCCAAATAAAAAAAAAAGTGAAGATTAATCATAAAGAATGCAGAGACATGCACAAGCAGATTACATCCAGTGCAGTGTCAAAGGTCAAACAGAATGAAAGATTAAGTGACAAAGGTCATTCACAAACACACAGGCACAGTGGAAAAGTCCAAAACACAACACAATCCAAGGTACAGTGTGTTAAAGGCCAAAAGACAATCCGAGCTATGGTGTGTTAAAGGTCATGGTGTGATCCCAGGTACAGTGTCAAAGTTCAATACACATACACTGGTAAAGTGTAAAAAGTAAAAACATACCTGGTAATCACATATACAGTGTCAAAGATCACCACACATTCACAATTACAGTGTCAAAGGTCAAAACATAATTACACATTTAGTGATAAAGATTACAGTCTGATACATTAGTCTAACAGACCTGAAAACAGGACAGTACTTTTACACATCAAAGCACAGAGACTTGTTATGGAGGTATTATAAGAATTCCAAGGTGTAAGATAATTAATGATTAAACAAGAACTCATATGGGAAGATACATGAAGTTCATTCAGTACAAATTTAACTAAAAATGATTGAAGATATAAACTAATATAACCCATTCAAAGAATAAACCTTTCTTAAAATGTTGCACAATAGCATATGAATTATCTAGTCTAGCCCAACATTTGTCAGAGTCTACGAAATCAGGCCTAACATTTTTAAAGAGCCCATGTAAGTTTGTCAGGTCAAGAAATTACCAATATAACACAATGTCTGTGAAACCTTGTCCCAGCCTAACAATACAGTCTGTGAAACCTTGTCCCACCCTAACACTACAGTCTATAAAATCTTGTCACAGCCTAACACTACAGTGTGTGAAACCTTGTCCTACCTTAACACTACAGCCTGTGAAATCTTGTTACATCCTAACACTACATTTTGTGAGACCTTGTTACATCCTAACACTACAGTCTGTGAAACCTTGTCCCATCCTAATACTTCTCACACTGTCTGTGAAATCTTGTCTTAGTGTAACACTACAGCCTGTGAAATCTTTCCATGGCCTAACACTACAGTCTGTGAAACCTTGTCCCATCCTAATACTTCTCACACTGTCTGTGAAATCTTGTCTTAGTGTCTGTGAAACCTTGTCCCATCCTAATACTTCTCACACTGTCTGTGAAATCTTGTCTTAGTGTAACACTACAGCCTGTGAAACCTTGTCCCATCCTAATACTTCTCACACTGTCTGTGAAATCTTGTCTTAGTGTAACACTACAGCCTGTGAAATCTTTTCATGGCCTACATCAGAGTCTGTGAAACCTTGTCCCATCCTAATACTTCTCACACAGTCTGTGAAATCTGACTAAGCCTATCAATTCTTACACAGTTTGTGAAATTTGGTAAGGTCCATCACTTCTCACATAGTCCATGAAGACTTCTTGGTCTCAAACACTTCTCACATAGCGCATGAAATCGTGTTGAGCTTAAGAACTTTCAAAAAGGGAAGTACACTTGAGTTAGTAATACTACAATGACCTGTGAAATGATACATACTACAATCTACTTAAGCAAATGGACAAGAAAGCTCACCGACTGGCCCACTTTCTTCATGATCTAGACAGTACATTGAAGTACACATCATCACTACATAAGTTAGGCAAGCATGTACACAATGTCATCAACTCCACAGAAGTTTGGTAAACTCCATTACACTATATCAATTATCATCAACTGTAGGTAAGTTAGGAAGGTAGGCTAGAACATTCAAGTATGTTATGTTAGCAGTGTCATCAATTTGACAGTTGGTAAATTCAAAGCCAAAATGTCAATGATTCCAAATGCATTTATCATGTACATTTACAATGTGATCAATTCAACAGAATGGCTTGTCTAGGTGATGAATGTTAGATTGTTAAAAGTTTTAAGGCATACACTGCAAGCCAGAAAGTGGGAAATATATATATATATGTATATCGTGAAATTACTTGTATTATTTTGTCGTTTTCATTTTCCTATTGCAGCTATGATATTTATGCCATATTTGGTCAGTTGCACTAAATCAAACACTAGACTTTTAAAAGGCATACTAAATCCTTACTAAAAGGAAGTCTAAAAACGTTCTGCTAGTAAATGCTTCTGCTCCGTGTCCTGAAAGCTAAATTCCTGAATAAAATCATATCCGACCTCACTAACAAAAATCTACCTGACAAGAAGCAAGAGACATCTACGCCATATTGTGAAAAAGGAAAATCATAATAACCAACCTGCATGAAAGAAAGTATTCATTACTGCAGTTATTTAATGAGGGAAGAGTAGATTGATATGGAGGATAAGGAGTAATTAGGCTGTTAGCCACACTTCACATCAGCCCAATAATAACACAGAACAAGAAAGTGATGTGATTTGTAGGACTTACAATAGCTACGCCATCCAATGCTTTCAGGTTCTTTAGATGGTAAATGACAAACAGGCGGTAATTGTCTATCTCTGTGGCCACGGGGTTACCAAACAAGTCCAGAATAACCAAACTGGATAGCACCTGAAAAAGGAACAAAACATCATTGTTACTATTGGGGTAAATATGAATGGAATCTGTTGAGAGATTCTCAAGATATGATGTTGATTCGGAATGTGACAGGAAAAAAAAAATCAGCTTTGAATTACTGTCACATCAATTTCAGACATCTAATGATTGTGTGTATGAAGTAGAACGGATATGTAATGAATACTATTCAGACTTACAAACTATTCAATAACTCTCCCCAAATACTTTGAACTTCTGGATTGAGACATACAAAAGAGGGGCACATAACTGGCTCATGATTACTTGTAACTGGTGAACGAAAACATAACTTCTCTGATAGAATTGTAAATCATGATACCAACCTTTAGGTAGAACACCTCTCTCACACTGTAGATGAGATTATTGCCGACATAGAGCTCGACTAGACTCGACATCTTCTGCATCCCAGCCAGTGAAATCAGTTTGTTGTTCTCCATAGATAAGTACACCAGCAGTAACAGGAACTGTAGGCCAGCGTTCTCCACTGAGGTGATATAGTTGTTGCCCAAACTCAGTCTTCGCAGATTTACCAGTTTAGAGATTCCTTCCAGTCGGGCTATACAGTTGTTCTCCAGGGACAGCTCCTCCAAACTTGTACACTGGTCTAGGCCCTGTTATACAATATGGTGTACCCTTTGGTGATTTTAAGTATACATTAGAAGGACAATGGCTGTTTCAGTAAGATGACGACATCATTTAGATTGTGAAAGGGCACATGAATTGATAGCTAATACTTTTCTCGTATGTCCCTTTGTATACTCTGTACAGTTATTAGTCTATTTAGACCAATCTTGTTTCTGTGATATATGATATATCTTTAAGACACAATGACTTACCTCTATCTTGGTGATATCGTTGTTGTTGAAGGAGGCAAATCTGAGGTTATCCATCCGCTCTAGGCCAGACAGTTTTGTGATGTGTTGATTATCCATGTTCAGTGTCGTTACCTGACCAATGTCAATGTCACATCAAATTAAATGTTTCACAATCAATATCATATCGAGATAAACGTCAAAAACACTCTTTACAGTTGATCAGTCTTTATTTTTAGCTTTTACCTATTTTTATTGAATTGTACATGTAGTTACATAGTGTAAAATTCTATCTATAGTTGGACTCAAATTTTACACATTTTACAAATATACATTTGTTTTGGAACTTGCTTTCCTGGATAAATCGTCTTAATAAAATCTGTTAATCATTTCAAGGTCATACAAAGGACATGCACAAATTCCTTGATTAAGAGTAAACAAGAAATCAATGAAAGTAAACACCTCACAAAAACTGAAGATTTTCATGTGTTCCCTAATTAGCTTTAGGATATACCAGGTATGTTACATTGCTGATTTGTATCAAAGTCATCTCCCATAAAAACATTTAATCAATGTTAGCCGTTTACTGAGAGAAGTATACAGTGGTTACCAAATGCTTGTAAAGATACTGAAAGTATCATCAGTGTAAGTGGCATTCATCAAAGATAATTGTATTTTATACGGTTTGTAACTCTTTGGGAAAGGAAATTCTTCATGTAACTATAAGTGGCATAACACCTTAACATAACTTACAATTAATGGCAAAACTAGTAACAAAATGTGTGTTATGAGAAATTCAGTTTAAATGAAGAAAAACACTTATCTCTTGATTTCTTCCACTGTTGAATTTAATACCTAAGTCTATTTCAAAAGATATTTATGGAATAGATCATTTGCTCTGACTTCTTTAAATGTACAACAGATAGCAGTTTACCTTGCTGTACCACACACTATCTGATTCTCCAAACTTTTCAGGTTTTAATCGACTCATTTTCTCTAGTATTTGAGCTACAGCCTGTAAATTTAAAGAGCGTGGCTTTGATTCGTCTGTTCGGCCATGAGTCAGGAGAGACAATTGAGAAATCCTTGATCCTGCTGCAACCCTCAGAGCTGATGTTGCCTCATTTTCTGTCACAGCTGATCCATCTAGCAAGGTCAAAGACTTCAGGCGACCAATCACTCTTAACCTTAGATTTTCAGGCTGATGACGAAAGCAAAACAACAAAATGCCTTTTGATACGATAAAAGTTAAAGAGTGGGTGTCATTTCAAAGACATAATTAATCAGATTTTTTTTGTCTTGAGATAGTATGATGTATCTTTGTGACCTGATGTAGTGGCTCCAATCCAAACACTAATGATTAAAGTTCATTTCAAATTAATTACTTTACATTTAAATCAGAATAGACTGTTTACTAACAGATAGATAACCTTATTAATTTGTGCAGCCAGTTGATATTGACGACCCACCTTTTGCCAGTTGTTGTTTCGAAGGTCAAGTGTCACAAGATTACAGATATGCTTTCTGAGAATCGACAACTCATCCCTTGTATGTAACAACTTATTCCAGCTCAGATCCAGAAACTTCAATTTGTACATATTCTGTAAAAAAGGTGATTCATAATCCACATAATACTATATTCAGTGTATTGACTGAGTCCATCACAACAACAGCCTTATGGTTTTTAACTATTTAAAAAAGTGACAATATCTTTAAATTTTAATAAAAAATACATAAAAATTGACAAAGACTTAAAACTTCAGTATATATATATATTTTTTGAAAAATCAACCATTTGACTATAATTGTATGTGAGATAACGATAAAAAACCAAACATTGTTTCATTTTTTAAATAATTTTCAATGCACATCAGCTGCTCAATTTGTTTTCATTAGAATTTTATAGAAGCTGAACTTTTTTTGTTTACCTTCATTCCCTCTAATGTTGAAATTTTGTTGAAACTTGCATCCAAATATTCCAGACCCTGGAAAAGAACCAGACAAGTCAAGTTGATTTTGTTAGAAACTAGATGAAATTACTACACAGAACGGCTTCTGAGGCCTATTGTATCACTTTGGTAACACAATTTTCTGCCTTTTAACTACTTTCCTTTAACTATCAGCTACAGAGAAATATTTGTCATTCAACATTCTGTGTCTTTGTAGCCTTCCAAAATGAAATGCATTTGTTTTGAGGAGAGCTTGTCCTCTCATTTGATATTTAGTTACTATAAAAATAACACTGATTCTGAAATAAATTCAGATTACCTTATATAGCTTGGGCAAATTTTCCCTTTTTCAAAATATTCTCTTACCGTATAAGCCAAGTCATCAAGCTTGGTAAGGTCATTGAAACTGACCACTAGTCTACGAAGGGACTTGAGAGCTTGCAAGGATCGCAGCTTTGTTAGACCATTACCATGTAAGTTTAGGACTGTAATGTTGTCTAAAGAATCTGTATTAGCAGTCTTCAACAGTAGTTCTTCTGTTAAACCAACCATTCTGAAATGCAGTAAACATTATCACTTTAGTGATGTCAAGTTTACCATCCAAAGGCAAAATATTCCAACTTAAATAGTGTCAAGCATTATATACCAAAATTAATTTCAAATAAATTGTGTTAGAAGCATGGATTTGAAATAAGAAATAAGTTGGAGATATGTCCTTTGATCTCTCAGATTAAGTCAAACTGCTTCTGGTATTGCAATTGATTTAAAGTTTTTATCAGACAGGAAAAAAGTATCTGTTCATTCTTACAATATGGTAGACATCTGAAGTCTACAACATAGAAATAATGATCTATCTGTTGGATCATTTCTACCTTGGTCTTGTCATCTGCTGAAAAGCCGAAATGTCATAACAGTGGATACTAAATAAACAAATAAAAAAATAAAGAATTAAATAAATACCTTGGTCTTTGTTTTGCGACAGGTTCCAAATTGAGAACATCTTCATCTGTCTGCTTCTCCTCCTCCCCATGTGGCACAGCTGGCAACTTACATTCGCGATTGTCTAGCAGCAGGTCATTAAAGTAAGAAAATGGCGATCTGGGTCGGAACTGTGTACCAAAGAAACTTAATTAATCACCAAAATTAGACAAAATAATTATTGTTAGATTTCATAATCTATTTCAGTCAAATAGAGTTTATGTATATATATATATAGTGTGTGCTATATGTCCAATTTTTATAACTAGGTAAGTAAATTTTGACAAATATAACAAGTCAACAAAATACAAGTTATTAAATTTTCACATGACATTGTAAGTTACCTAAAACAATCTAAAAGTGTTAGGAAAACTTATATAATTTCCTAATTAAAGACTTAAAATTCAGCAAACAAAACTGAACCTACCTTTGTTATATACTCAAATTCCACAATGTATTCAGGCAGCACTAACTCATTGTCAAATATGTACCATTCACATTGTCTAGAGCTGCATTCACAAGAGTTAGACCCATCACCATGTGATTCTGAAATAACAGCATCAGTGCCAGTCTGGTAAGATATCTGGAATTTACTTTGTATCAGCTTCAGACTAAATCATTTTGTGTTAACAAATACACTATTTCAAATATTTTCTTTCCAAATATATTACACCATAAGATAATAGATGAGATGCATTTTTTTAATATTGTTTGAAATGTCTACTTGTAAACAATTCATTCTTAAAGGCTTTGCTTTCAAATTTTGTTGCTTCAAGTCAATGAGGAAGATATTTGAATATACACAAGTACTGTCAGTGTTTCATTTTTCTTTTGGATAAATTATACAAGGAAATCTAAGCTTTAGATTAAGAAAAAGTCTGATTTCATGAATTTTTGGATTTCTTGGATGAAAGAAACTTTAGAGAATTAAAGAAAATTGATTTAGTATTTGATATTTACCAATGCCTTGGCACATTTTCCTAGGTTTAAATACAGCATCAATTTTTGGATATGACGACCTTGTTATTCTGAGGAAGTAAAACAAATTTCTCTTACTAATGTATAAAATGTACATCAAAAGACAAAGCTAAAATTGTGTATCATAATTTCTCACCCTTTTTGTACAACCTTAGAAAATGAGTAAGTATAGTCTACTTTAAAACTGATGAAGATTGTCAATGCGATATGATGACACTATACCTCATACTATGACCCATAGGGTCAGAATTCAAAGACGAAAAAAAATTAAAAAAATATTGTGGTAGGGTATTCAGATTTGTCCAATATTACAAGAGTATATCAACTAAGTGTTGGAATTCTCCTGTGGTATAGCAATTTATATTTATATTTTTTTCTCTCTCTACTATGTTACACTTACTGTCGATCATCCATGGCCTTGACACTTTTACCCAAGTACACCTTTGAGATTATCAGCTGACCTGAAATTTATACATTATAAATCAGATTAATTGAATAAACATTTCCATAACAAAAATGTCATTTCTTTGACAAATCAAAGTATCTGAGGTTGCTATCATCCTTCAGAAAGCAATCAAATGGTTTAAATTCAAAACAATTTTTGTGAAAATCTGAACTTAATAAAATACTATGTCACATTGAAATATCTTGCCAACTTCCAGAAGTAAAGTTACATTGTTTATCAAGTCCACTACTAAACTGACCATATCTAAATGGACAGGCATCTACATTACTGGAGGCCTTTGTGAGATGTTTGATGCGGTGTCGGTCAGCCAGACTTAGGCTGTTACTGAGAGGCACTGCTCCATCACGTCCCAGGTCCTGAAATATATGCATGTCATTAAATTCAGATAAAAAGAAGAAACTTCTGTGTTGGGCTCACTCCTATTAATTTTATATAGTTTATTTCAAATAAAAAAATACAACCGATTTTGAAATAAAAAAGCAGAAAAGCACTCCTAAAAATCAACTGAAATCAACAATACCCTTAACCACAGCTGATATTCAATGCTAATATTTGTGCAATATGCAAACAAAATTTTTATATGAGCTCTATGTCAAACACCTATGACAATGTGACATTATGAACTTGTTTGTGTTGAAGTCAACATCTTTCTCTGATACTCTCCACAACAACTACAGATTAACCCACCTTATAGGTGTTGGAGTCCATATAACCTTCCTCTAGCACCCTCATTGGTTCTTGTACTCCTCCTAGTAGTAATGGATCCCACATCCAAAACAAGTATTCCAATTGCTTCTTATAGGATGTGTTTCTGCAAAAAGATATCCACGTTTAATAAAAATCCTTTTCTATAGTGCAAAAGCAGCAAAGCAATACATCAAATTACCTTACACGGCTTGTTTTAAACAGAAGCGATGTTTTTGTTACTCCTGCACTACACTGTGGACAGCAGATAAATCATAGACAGGATCATTCGACAGACAGAAATACTGTGACATATATGCAAGTTTCCTGAAAGAAGGGACGTGTTGGTGATGATAGACAGATATGGTTAACACCTTATATGCCTCCTGTAAAATATCACTGCATTAAAAACAAGGTCTGCTGAAAAGAAATCAAAGGAAACATATATAGGAAATTTGAGAATGAACCATCTAATCCTTCTCAAGAAAAAACGATAACAAACTTTTATAAGCAAAATCCAAGATGGCCACCTGTTGCCTATTTTGTTTTCTGATCAGTCCCAAAATAAAAAGCGCACTAGGTATAGTCAAAATTTAAGATGGCAGCCTGTTAAGCGTTTTTCTAGTCAGTCTTAATATCAAAGGAGCACAAGTAGGGACCTGGGGGAACTTACATATGAAATCTGTGAAAGACCCTTTCAGTACTTCCGTAGAAGTAGTGATAACAAACTTTCAGTCAAAATCCAAGATGGCTGCTTGTCAGCCCTTTTGATTTCCTGATCAGTCCCAAAATCAAAAGGGCACAACAAGGGATCAAGAAAAATCAAGGTACGAATTTTGAGAATTATCCATCCATCACTTCCCCAGAAAGATCAATATTAAAGCATGACTGTTGTCAAAATCCAAGATGACCACCTGCTAGTTATGTTGTTTTTCTGATCAGTACCAACTTAGACTATGCACAACTAGGGACTAAGAGTTACCTATATCACCATCTGATAATGATGAACTTAAATAAAAATAGAGTGTTCATATAGGAAAATTATGAGTAAGCAAAGTGTATATCTAGAGAATACAGTCTGAGTATATACCTATTACAAGGATAAAACTCCCCTTCTGCGTCATCCACAATGGACACTAGCTTCTCATCAAACTGGGTTCGTAGCATTCGGTTATGGACTCTGATGATCCGGTGGATTTTAACACCAGATATGCCGTGATCTTTGAAGTCCGTCGCACAAAAACGGGACAAAACAAGGTCATGGCAGGAAGAAAACCTTGAAATATGCAACAAAGTAAAATTATTCATCATCATGGAATAAGCTTTTAAAATTCATTTTTTTGGGATATGCCAATTTCTCTTGTTTGCTGCTAGTTTTCAATTGTTCAATACTGTTTCACTTTTACACACACACTCAAAATAAGGCTTGATATTCAGGTGAAACGGTACATCTAAGTTATTTGACAAAAATTCTTTCATTTGAATAAGTATAGCAGGGATATTTTATCGAACTATTATAATAACAAATTGAACTCTGCTGTGTGTCTGAGGAGATCAAGTTGACCAATAAAGATAACAGTAGTGTGAAACAGGAAGCAATTACAAGACTCAGAGTGTAGAAGGACAGTGGGAGTTTATTGTTCTGAGAATAGCTTCCATAGCAACACTCACCATACTTCTGACGTCGTCCCCTCCTCAAACCGTACATTTCCCCCAGACTCCAGCTCCAGGACCATTCTGTTGACTAGTGTATCACAGCTAATTTGTAACCGTTTTACTGCCTCCTTCATAAAAATTTCTATCCTGTAACAGAATGTACCTTTGTGTCAAGCTGTAACGAACTTACTGTAACTTACTCACACCGTCCTTCATAAAACTCTTTGTCCTATAACTCAATATTCCTCAGTGTTTAGCTATTATGAAATAATGAGTCTGCTGTGACAAACTCACATCATCTGTCATTAAACTTTTTATTTTGTAACTCAGTACTCCTCTGTTTTTAGCTATAATGCGCCTGCTGTGACTGTCTAACTGACACCTTCCTTTAAAGAACTTTCTATCCCCTACTCAATATTCCTCACGATGTATAATCATGTGGGAAAAGACCGGATTTACTAACTATTTGAAATAAGGTTTCAAATTTTCAAAACCTGACTGAAAAATGTTGTTGTACCAAGGAGCATGTAGCCCACATGGTAGAAATGATAAGATATAAATGGTTTTCCTCTGCGGTAATTATAAGGACCTCTTGATTTCCATATATGAGATCTAACTCTAGGTTAAAGGGACATATGATTTCGAAGACTAGTAACAAGTTCTGTACTCTACTTACTCAATAATACTCTTTCCTTCATAATCCTAAGACAACAACATCTCAGTTTCTTTGACACTCCTACAAACCTTACAGTCCCCTATCATTTACAGTTCATTCGAGATAGAAGGAAGAAAGACATTCATCCTGCTCACACTTAATAGACCTGTATAACTGACCTCTCTCTCACTAAGCACATACTTTCCTACAAAGCTCAGAATAATTTTATATAAGCCAAGGCTAGCAAGAAGACCAGTACTTTTTCACTACCCCTCCTACATAAAGTGTTTCAACCCAAGGATAAGGCAAAACAAAATATATCTCATGTACATGTTTAAAATGTTTTAAATACTGGGCAATTTTCCAATTAACAGGAATTCCTTGGCAGATTTTGAAGGAATATTATTGATTAATTTGTTAAATCCTGAATCCCACTAATACAAACAGTGACAAATGAATTGTACACTTCATCTCCCTATGGGAGAGAGGAATCAAGCACAACTATTTTCTACAAATTACTTCATTTCAAAAATGGTGAGGTATCTATTTCCCAAGGAAGGAAAATTCAAAGAGACCTGTTAAAAATTTAGAGTTCTGCCATGTGGAAGAACACGTAAAACATCAACACACTAGACGTGATAAGGCTGTCTTCCTCCAATTTTATACTAGAACAGTACTAGTGATTCTCAAGGCCCATACTAAACATCATCTTCAGTGTAGATAACCTGTAAGGTCTGTGTCAATAATGCTTCCATATATTGTAATTTGTGATATCAAGCTCCAGCAGTGGTAGCCTGATAACCATTTATGCCAGGTCTACATGTTTTCTTATCAGAGTACAATAAACGTAGATAATTACATTAGAGCAACACGTACTTCATAAAAGGAACTTTACAACGCTGCAACAAAAACCAATGCTATATAACGGTAGTTTACAGGACAGACATTCTGATATAAATCTAGCCCGTTTCTTCAGAATGCTTTTTTTATTCGCAAACAAGGCTTGACACATATGTTACTTATGTATCAATAATTACCAATTACAGTCAATATGAATCAGCCAGTTCTAACTTACTCTGCACATTTCTTCTCCCATTTTTTCATCCTTTCCTTTATAGCTGTTAGTTTTGCAGCAAAAGCTCCATTCTCATCTAAGTGTTGTAATCTTGCCTGCCAAAAGCAAAACAGAAAAAATACTTATCATCTGGCCGGAAAGATTATATCAAGACAAACTATAAACACAGCTTTGTTGATCATGTATGACTTAAATACTATAGCCCTTGAATCACCCTTGCAACACATCAAATAAAAGTTATACCCTGTAAATTTAATTAGAAATTCATTTCACTCCGACAAAAAACAAGTAAGATTCAATTTTCATAAAATTTATAAGAATCAAGGCAAATAAATTGAAGAATTCCTTTTCAATTTAATGTTAATATTAAATTTGCAAATTAAATAGTTTTATTTTTATTCAGGGTATCAATTATTACCAAACAGCATGTGATATGAGGCAAAACTATCCTGCTCAATTTCCCCAATGTTCTGGTTTCAAATGATTTGATAATATCACCTCTTCTGATGGTGACAATTCAATGTGAATTGAGTGATTGTGTTAGAGGGTGAGTTTCCATGAGATTCTATCAGAACAATGCCACAGATCTGAGCAGACACTGCCTGACATCCCTACAACACGTGTTGCAGAGATAATCTGATGAAATTCACTCCTTTTAGAAACTTTTCAAGAGACTGCATGTAACACTGAAGATGATGCACAACTACAGTAATCAGATCAGGGTGCCAGCCTTCGTCTCTCACTTCACTGAGCAAAATATTGAACAGGGTTACATGGCTGCATGATGGATGTGAAGAAGCAGTAACAGAAAACGACGGCAGAGACAACACTTGGCACCATCTTCACAAACGTTATGTTATGTGTGTTGTGAACAATGACATTACACTATGAACAATGACAGCAAGTATTACTAGCTATACATGCTCTCCATAAACAGATCATTTTGGACACATAATGTAGAAGTTTAAGGAAGATACATAATTTCTGGTGCAAGTGTATTAATAACTGTTGCCCCTCTTTAGGGTCATGTTACAAGACGTAACGTGAAACATGTCTAAAGAAGAAAAGAAATACAATTTCCTACAGATATATCTCTACGTTACATCACCAGAACTGTCTAAGTCAGAGTCTTTCTAATACCCTCACTCCATCAGAAAAATTATCAAAACCTTACATAAGATGTAGAACACATTACTTTATTTTTAAGGCATAATAATGATGGAATGGGACTGAAATTTTTTTAATACAACAAAAAATTTTTACTTTCAGATGTTTTCGTAATACAACAGTCTCTTACTGTAATACTGTTGATTGAAGCATGATTTCAAATCTACTGGACAGAATTCATCATATAAGCAAAAAACTGTATCATCAACTCAAGGGCCAAATATGCTGTGATAATATTATCACTCAAGTCATTACAAATTAAGTTGTGAGATCTGTAGAGGTCACAATCATGTAATTTCTAATGGAAGCCATTTATACAGTATATGTACAGACTAAGTAAAATACAAGCACAGTCAGACCAAAAGAATTTCACTGTACTGTAATTTAAATTACATAATGTGTCTCCACCAATCAGAGGCCATGGTGGCCATCTTTCATCCTTAAATTTAAGTGTTGTCCGTCAGTCAGAGATTTTTTGCATGAAATAAACTAAAAGGGTTTGAAATGACATCAAAGAACATTGTGAACATACATCTTTATAAACTTAAGCTTTGGTTGTGACCTGGATTACTTGTATGAACAGATAGAGGATCAAAAAGAAGGAAGAATGTGATATGTTTGTGGGGAACAATGGATGAGAGGTTTAGGAGATTAAAAACCTTATCAAATGTATACTGCGTTTATATTGTCGAGGATCAATGATAGCAATACACCAGAACCCAAGAACACAGTATTAACAAGTACCTGTGATATGGGCTGTTAAGTTGTAGTATAATCCTCCAGGTATACACTAATCTGGTTCAGGTGGCTACTGTAACCATTTACTTACCTACCATGATCAATAAACCTAGTCATAAGTAGGATCACATCTCATTTGGTCCTAATGTTTTATTATGTTTCTGTTTCTCTGTTGTGTTGCCTATACTTGACAGCTGAGTTTTTTAAGCCAATATTAAACAAGCATGGTTAAAAGTCAAGGTCCATGTTCAGTGTTTGACACTAACACTAATCTTAGCCTAGAATTTAACTGCAGGGCTTCAGATTCTAATAACAAATTTCCATTCCTTTTAATATTTATATAAAAAAGATTCCTGAAGAAAAATATGCCTTGAAATAATACCTGTTTTATGTTCGTAATGTGAAACAAGAAACACAAAATTGAATTTTCAGGCCTTAGTCCAAATATTAATGTTCCTGAAAAAGTTGTCTGATTAACAAATCTATGGATAAATGCTGAGTCTCATGACTCATATTAATTTGTAATACACCTTACAAAGTAATGGTCTAGTGGTAACCATATAATGTTTATCAACATAAAGTCAAGATTTTTTATCCTCTATCTATCTCAAAAGCGTGAAAGTAGAAAAAGAAGAAATAAATTCTGTAAAAAACAAGCTAATTGTGTAGTTCCCTGTCCCATTAACAGACACCAGTGCTAATTGGTAGAGGACATCTACAGGCTTGTAGTTAATACCAGGACAAGTAAATAAACCAACAACATGTACAGCATTATTGTCATCACACTATATTATACAAGCATTACCACAGTATCACAGGGAATTTACAGCAATTCCTCCACAGTGAAATGACATTTTTCATTACAATCATTGCACACTTTTAGCATAAACAGTTAATTACAGAAAAAACTATGAACAGCATTTTAAAAAAATGTTTTTTTCCCTTTTGAACTGAAGTTTCATGGTAAAGTATAACTGAGATAAAATCCACATTTTTTCAAACATATATACATTCTAATGCTAATATGTTAATGAGGTTAATAATAATGTTCCATGGTTATTTATGATAGAGATCAGGTGTCAGTAATAGTAAGAATGACATACAGAGGTTAAAGGTCAACTACAAGCCAATCAGCTATTGGGTAAAAAGACTACAGGCAGGCAGTTATTATACATGTACTAGTTAGTGACAAGGTAAGACAACAGTTGGTCACCTGGTTCTCTATTTCAACAGCCAAAACAAGTTCAGCATCCTCATCATCTAGCTCCTCCTCATCATTAGATGAGTCAGAGACTTTGCGGATGGGCACCAAATTGTTGTAATCATGCATTTCTTCAAGTTCTGTTCGCACCTGCAAGTTTTAGTTTGTGTGGAAATACAATCACTAGATTTTTACAAGTGAGATTAATTCAGCCTCTCTTGAAGTAATTACACATGCATCTACAGTGAATTGTGACCCAAAACTCTCTGAAAATTTTTTAAAAAAATTTTAGGAAACACTATATATAAACTTTTGTTGTATTTGTTTTTCTTTCAGTAGTGTTCATAATACCTATTAAAACCTAACCGTCAAATTGTCACAAAAGCCCTGGAAACCTCACAACTTACATGTTTTCTCACTTTATTTTTGCCCATCATTGCTGAACTTGCATAAACCATATTTATACAGTTAATAAATAAATTAAAATTTGTCCATGTTGTGAAGTTCCAAACATCCTCAAAATCCACTACTGCGTATACTAGTATTTCAACTATTTCAAGGCTAAAAAGTGTACCTCTGGAACGTACCACACAAAAACCGTAATTTACGGTGCACTTTCCCTGTAACAGCTGACATGGACAAATTACAACTACCAATACATCACTCCTTGATGTGCTTCTTTTGTTTCTGTTTTTAATCTAAATTTGTTATGTTGCACTTTAAATAGGACTGACAAAAGCCTGAAGTGAAGCTAGTAATTTAAATGAGTAAAAGCTGATATTTACATCAATATTTCATGGTAGCTCCATCACATCAGTACTAAACTTAGTGATATCTTATATTCAATGAGAGCTAGTAAAGAGAAAAACAGCTTTGAGTGAAAGATGAGTACTAGGAACAAAAAAAAAAATGAAATAAAAAGGAAGCCTAGATAATTGAATCTAAACCAAATTCATTATAGAATACTAGACAGACCATCTATATCAATATTAGTGTTATATTTCTGTCAATTTAAAAAAATATGTTCTTCTTGAAAAATCTGTATATCATGCAGATACAGATCTAATTAATTTGCATAACAAAATTTTCTATATAATTACATTCACTATACTGAGAATGGGAATTCATACAATTTGGTCCTTATCTAAGAATGTTTGGACCTTATCTTATCAAAATTATTCTTATTAATAAATACTGGGGTTTTATGAAGGGTATGAGCTTTGAAGGGTATGAGCTAATCACAAACTTATATTCAAACTTTTAACTGAAACTAAAGATTATAGTATCTTTACAAAAAATAGCATCCCAAGTACTAGACAGGTTAACATTAAGATTTTGTGTTCTATTATTAGCACTGGTTTATAGTCCCAGTCTGCATCCCAGGTTCTGGGACAGGTAAACATTAAAAGTCTGCGTCCTAATTACTAGTACTGGTTTGTTGTCCCAGTCTGCATCCCAAGTACTGGGACAGGTAAACATTAAAAGTCTGCGTCCTAATTACTAGTACTGGTTTGTTGTCCCAGTCTGCATCCCAGGTACTGGGACAGGTAAACATTAAAAGTCTGCGTCCTAATTACTACTACTGGTTTGTTGTCCCAGTCTGCATCCCAAGTACTAGACAGGTTAACATTAAGATTCTGTGTCCTAATTACTAGCACTGGTTTATAGTCCCAGTCTGCATCCCAGGTTCTGGGACAGGTAAACATTAAAAGTCTGCGTCCTAATTACTACTACTGGTTTGTTGTCCCACTCTGTATCCCAAGTACTAGACAGGTTAACATTAAGATTCTGTGTCCTAATTATTAGCACTGGTTTATAGTCCCAGTCTGCATCCCAGGTACTGGGCCACATTAACATTAAGAGTCTGTGTCCTAATTACTAGGACTGGTTTGTAGTCCCAGTCTGTATCCCAAGTACTAGACAGGTTAACATTAAGAGTCTGTGTCCTAATTACTAGGACTGGTTTGTTGTCCCAGTCTGCATCCCAAGTACTAGACAGGTTAACATTAAGATTCTGTGTCCTAATTACTAGCACTGGTTTATAGAGTCTGCATGTTCTGGGACAGGTAAACATTAAAAGTCTGCGTCCTAATTACTACTACTGGTTTGTAGTCCCACTCTGTATCCCAAGTACTAGACAGGTTAACATTAAGATTTTGTGTTCTAATTATTAGACTGGTTTATAGTCCCAGTCTGCATCCCAGGTACTGGGCCACATTAACATTAAGAGTCTGTGTCCTAATTACTAGGACTTGTTTGCAGTCCCAGTCTACATCCTCGGTTAGAGGACAGATTAATATTTAGTGTCTGTGCCCTTATTACTACTAGGGCTTGTCTGCAGTCTCAGCCTACATCCCAGATTCTGGGACATGTTATCATTCAGTGTCTGTGCCCTTATTACTACTAAGGCTTGTCTGCAGTCTCAGCCTACATCCCAGATTCTGGGACATGTTATCATTCAGTGTCTGTGCCCTTATTACTACTAGGGCTTGCAGTCTCAGCCTACATCCCAGATTCAGCCTATCATCTCAGTGTCTGTGCCCTTATTACTACTAGGGCTCGTCTGTAATCTCAGTCTATCCCAGATTCTGGGACATGTTATCATTCAGTGTCTGTGCCCTTATTACTACTAGGGCTTGTCTGTAGTCTCAGCCTACATCCCAGATTCTGGGACATGTTATCATTCAGTGTCTGTGCCCTTATTACTACTAAGGCTTGTCTGCAGTCTCAGTCTAAATCTCAGGTTCTAAGACATGTTATCATTCAGTGTCTGTGCTTTCATTCTTGTGTCTAGTAACTATCCTTGATGCTGAGTTTGATAAATATTTCAATCATTTCAAGTATCATTAATTATGAATGGATATCAATTTAGTTGAAAAAAACAAGAAAGTGAAAAAAAAAAAAATATTAAGTGAAGTTTTAGCTAATTCTCATGAAGTGTCATTAAACATAGAACAACATTTTCTCTTCCCACTGCAAATAGCATGTTGATTTAAGCTGATGAAGAGGCAGGGACACCAGGCAGTATTCAAAATTATCAAATTCATACAACTCTACTGAAGATTCCTACGAAGAACTATAGCTACATCAATCCTTTAAGCAACACTTCAACACAAAGCTATACTTGCTAACTATAATGAAGCACACATAAAAAATCCACAAAGCTTAAAGTTTGAGATTCTCTTTTAAACACACAAATATAAAATATATAAATATTAGATTCAAGAGTAATGGCTTCCATCATATGATGACGGAAAGAAAAAATATTGTATATAAAAAAATAGATCAAAATTGAAATATGCTCATAAGATAGGCAAATTGAAGGGAACACACTCAAAATAATATTGATAAATCAAACACAGAGAACATAAATGAGCAGTATTTAATAACATATTAATTTTAAAATAGAAAAACTAAAATTTAAAAGCAACAAAAGGGAATCGATAAGATAAACAAAATAGGCAGTGGAAATGTTCAACTTACCTCTTTTATCGAACTAGCCAACGCACGAATTCGTTCTCGCGGAAACTCAAGTAAACGTTGTTTATATATATCCATCTTTGATAAAATATCAACCATATTTCTCTTCACAGTTTTCACTCTCATGTTGTAATACATTTTCTTCTTCATTACTGTTGTCTGTTAACAATAATAACAATAAAAACACTTAGCTAAAATAATGAAACTTCCATCTGAACAGAAAAAGTACTTTAAGTCATGGATAACTTCCAAATGTTCAATTTTAAGGCAGATCTCACACCAGGGAATGACTCCTGACAGATAATTTTAATGGTGTGTGTTTTACTGCTATGAATGTAGTTTTCATGAAAATCTCTTCAGAACTTGTGCTGACTTTATAAAGTGGTGTCTGTATAATCTAGTTAACAATGATGGACTTAAAACATGATAGTCGTGTAAGACAAGATGTTGGAAATATAGGTCTCAGATCCTAATTGTTTCACAGTATTTGATATTTTAACTGATTTATTACATTGATCCTGTGACAGATAGGAAAGGGAACTGGAGGGAACAAAAGAGGACTTTGTCCCTCACAGAGTGTGGAACTGTAAATTAACGGCAATATCAATGCATTCATTTCATAAGTATTCAGTTTGATTGAGAAGTCAGAAGAGGACCTATAATCTATTTATCAATCAGTACGTCAATACACAAGAGTGAAAAGATGAGCTGACCTCGGCCATGTCCACAATAGACTTGCTGACGTCGTAGGTGTCCAATGTGGCCAGGTGAGGCATGTGATATAGTACATGTGTGGAATAGTTACACAACAAGCTGACAGGCGCAGGGGAGTAGATTGGGTCCTTCATACTCAGGCTACGAAGCTTTGACAGTCTCATCAGGTGGGTCAAGTCCTAAGAACACATCATTACAAAATCACCATTTCTTTTAAATGAAATAGAAAATTCTTTCACTTGACAGATGTTTTACTTAAATTGTGATACATTTGATAAAAAAAATCATCCCATTTCAGTTATGACCTCATATTTGTGAAATCAATGATTTATTTAGTGTAAATCATTACATTTCAATAGTTTGTTAAGCTAAACATCATAACAAAATAAACTGTGTAGCCAGCTTGAAAATAGTGAGAAATATTGTACTTACCCGTAGTGAAGATATGCTGTTGCCGGACAGATTGAGGTCTTCTAAACTCTGATTGGCATCTAATGTATGACCTTGAAAAAAGATTTAAACATATTGCACATGTAGTACCAGGGCAGTGATTCATATTACATGGGATTTTGTCTCTCATATCTTTTTTAAAAAAAAATTAATAAAACTGACCCAATAACTTTGTTATTTGATTAGTGACATTAAGTATGAATCCTAAAACCAATGCTTCATAATTTCATAAACTATTTACCATTTAACAGCAATGGAATTTAATCTCGACTTTTAACTGAAAATCTTGACCTTTGACCCCATACATGTAGGTACCGGTAAGTTGACTTCCCATTTGATTCCTCTGTGTCACATCTTTATGAAGTGTTTCCCAGTAAGAGTCACACAATAATAAAAATTTAGAAAATAATTTCTGTAAGACATGAATTCTCCCATTTGCATGCAAGTATCATTGTCTGATGAATGAGGAGAAGTTGTTAAATGTGATATTTTGACTTTTAAACCTTGACCAATGATCATCTTAATATGATTAGGTTCAGAACATCAGGTTATATGGGGTAAGTATGAATCAAAGTTGAAGAAAAACTATGAAAATATATGAGTCATTTGGATTGCAATGGGATTGGTCAGAATGGACAGACATATATATAGGTAATAGTACATACCCCGTCCCCAATAAAATATTGATAGCATAAAGAAGAAATAGGTTATCAAGGATGAGAAGTCGAAAACATCTCAAGCATCCTTTGAAACATGAACCAAAATAGTTTGGGCGATTTCATACATTTTTTATTAAATTTGTCTGTCAACACCAGGAAAATAGCATTTCTTCCCTCAAAGTTGTTGTGGTGAGCTAAACAAGTTCTTAATCTGATTGTGGGTACAAAACAAGATAAAAGAATCATGTTGTAACACTTGCCTATTTTAGAAATAGAATTCTGTGCAAGATTCAACTGCTTCAGCTTGCATAAACATGAGAGATTCTGAAAACCAAATGAAATAAATATTCAATATCATTTACACATTCAATTAGAACCTCCAAAGGGACTATGTTGTTCTCACATTGATTATTTCAAACTGAACTATTATTTACATAAAAATAGATGAAATTTCTCTGTGAATTTGAATATGAGATTAGCTTGATTGTTGTCAGTGTTTCACTTCCTCAAGCTACAGACCAGCTGTATTATTCCAGGTCTACATACTCTCATGAAGCAGTTTGATTTTTTTTCAATTCAATTTACTTTATGATCATGAAGAGGGGTCAATTGTAGAGAGATGTTATGCATTTGAACTGTCTTTTACCCCCCAAAAAAGGCTACTAGAAAAATATAACATTATGTATCACATCAAATATGTCCACCGTACATATACAAACATATAGATGGTGGTTGGACGTTGGAGCACTTTCATTTTCCTAAACATACATGTATTACACTACCTACCTCTATATGGACTATATTGTTGCTGTTGAGCCATAACACCTCTAACTCCACTAGGTGATCCAAATTCTCTATCTTATTAATCTTATTGGAAAATAAGTACAACTTCTGAAGTTTCTTCAAAGCACCAATATTTTCTATTTTCTGTAAACAGAAGGAACAAAGTCTAAATATAAACACTGATAGATCTGCATTGAAGGAATAAAATTTCTTAACTTTACACACTTTTATACGAGGAGAAATTTGTTTTCACACTAAAGTTCCATCAATAAAATTCTACTGACAAAGATCTAGATCCAAGTCTGCTGATATCAAGTCTATCAAATCTACTGGTACTTAATTGTGTATAAAACACAATGAAAAAATTCACTCAGGTGATCATATCCATAGTTTTTGTTGTGAAATCATAATGCATTATCGGACAAAAAAAAACAACACACTAAAACGAATCATATGCACAGTAATTTCAGATAGATATTTGATATTTATTAATTTCCTAAAGATGATAGTTATATAATTGAACAAAAGCATGTGCTACATAAATGTATTCTGTATTGTTACTCCGGTAAATACCATGTCACAATGGCCATGCACTTAAAACTAACCTTGACCCCTGTCTCGCTGATCCACAGTTCTTTGAGGTTGGTTAGACATGACAAACCCTCAATCTTCTGTATTTGCTGGTCGACAAGGGTCAGGCAGGTCACATTGGGAAAGTGTCTCATTGCCACTATTCTCGGCATTCCAGAAAAAAACATTTCCAGCACTGTACACGTAAAAACCTCTCCATTCTCTATTTTGTTGTAATTTAGTCCATTCACACTACACTGTAAAACCAGAACATATTCAAATCTTAAAACATACAGTAACACAAAAAAATTTAAAACTAAATTTATTTATCAATGAAGAGAATAAGTACTAAAGAAATTTTCTGAATGCTTTAAATTATGATTACATAATGATGACATCTGTCAAATTTCTATGTATAAAAAAACAACAATTTTTTGTTGGTTATATACAAATAAGTATATCTGCTATGATGCATACACAATGTGTGATCTATGCTATGTACATAGATAAACATTTGCTGATCCCTGTGAAGGACTACTCACAATTTCCCTGAGTATTTCATCCTCCTCTTCCTTCATGGATTTCGGCTTGGAGGTAGACTGTGTTGAGGAGCCTATTAGGGATCCTGCAGATTGCTGCCCACCAATCAACCCCCCTGTCTCTGAGATGCTCCCCGCAGGCCGCATTAATCCCCCAGAACTGGACCCTGACAGGGACCCAGAGAGGGACCCGTTTGACAATGACATCACGTCTCTGTGATGTCCCAACAATGACTATCTGGTTTACTCCCCATGGCAGGGTTTGGGGTTCTTCAATAGTTACTGTACCATGTGACAAACATTTCCTATGTAATATCTGCAGCAATATCGTCTTTAAACTCTGGCATAAACATCTTAACTAGACACCATCTGAAAGATCAAGTAAGGCACTCTCAGAAAAATACAGTTTTTCTGTGTCAGTACTGCAGATTATTCACCACACTCCTGTCAAAACATCAGAGATTAAGTGTTTTAATATTAATCCAATATATCCTGTGTATAACTCAGTAAGTAAAGGGTGGCCATTGGTTCTTTAATATAAACAGACTTCAGATTCAATATAGATACTTAAGTACTTATATATACCCATTAAATTGTATGCATAATGTCAGATAAAATAGCTTATGTAATAAATAATAGAGGTGCATTAATCTCTGGACTCCAATGACTGAAAAGCCTCTTTACAGGGATCAACATATCCCTAATAAATAATCAGGAGGTACAGTGTACTTCACCAGCCACCATACTTCATATCCCCAGGGCTACAGACTTTTCTATTCTAAACAATTCAATATGTGTATGGATAAAGCTTAGCATTAAAATTTCTATTTTAAAAAACTGTATTATATATATGGTAATAAAACAAAATTATGTTCTGAAAATATACCTCAAGTTGCATGCTAAAGAGCAAACATTTAAATTTCTCTATGTAGAGCTAATCAGTCATGACTAAACCACATCTACCATGGGTATATATTAGAATTTAAACTCTTTGCATGTATTTCTCTATGCTAATCAGTATCTAATGAAAATACCAATATAATGCATTACCACACACAATGCAGAGATAATGTATGTAACACATGAGATGTATCGTCTATCAACCCAGGTAAAAAATCAATTAATGATAATACAACAAGTTGAAGTGTAATGTCAACATTAAAATACAATTGACGTTTAGACAGATTTGCCAAATAATCAATACAGACCTATTTAGTCTAAAAAATAAATTGAATGAATTTGTATTGAAAAGATAACTATCTGGCATCAACATAGATTCTGAACATGTTATATGTTTATTCAATATTTCCTAAGGGTAAAAACAATGGTGATGTTTTATAGAATGTGAAATGTATATATACAGTAAATAATGCAGGTTACTAACTGTTACATGCATGTCAAAGTGCATGCAATCTACCATGAAGACAATCATATTATTAGAAATTTGTTCAAGGTAATAATAAATAAATAGAGAGCGTTACACTGAGTTGGGGTATTACTGAACTGGAAGCATAAGAACACCAAGGCATCTGATTTCATAGGTGCTGAAATGTCAGAATGCATAATAGGTAAAAATATGACATTGTGATCAACTATTTATATATAATTAGGAATTTAAGGTAAATTAACTGTTGAAGTCATTGATTTCAATAATTAACCATTTATCTTCAACTTTAATATTCCGAAATGAGCAAATGTATATGTAACAACTTTCTTATAAAAGTAAGTAATTATACATGTCTCTTAAGGATTAGAATCAGAATTTAGCTGAAGTGTTCAATAATTACCAGTCCCGTGTAATCCAGCCAAAGTACAAACCATTTCTATATTAACTTTTAACCAAATTATAGCAGTTTGAACATACACCACAGAGGAGACATCCAAAGAACAGTCCGAGCATAATGTAAACAGCTTGGCATGATGGGTCTTCTACACAATAATCAATATCCACAACATACCTACTATAGTACTACATTAAAGATTTGGCAACTTGACATTTCTCAGACATACAGAGTTTATTAAAGACACCTGCAGACATTATACTTTGACAAAATACTTTATAAATAGCTCATTGGTAACATGATAGCATTTGGTTCAAAAACAAATAATTACCTTTGTAATATTTTTGTATACACCAATATGGTACAATATACAGTCAAAAAACAAACATTAACTCCAATGTGAACAGATTGGTGACACTATACAACTCTTGTAATTTGATACCGATTTTTACAATCACTAGTCACTGTACAATGTAGATACATTCCAATCTTTTAACACTGGGGCTTTAAGTCTATGTGAATGGCAGTATATTTAGTATGTAAAGTAGTTTTTTGTTTTATGAATAGTCTGCAGGACACAATGTATATAATGACCTCAAAAAAAATAATTCATGACACCTTAGATTATAATCCAAGATAATGATATTAAAGTACCTCCGAGACCTTTAATGTGTATTTTGTGTACAAACTCCTCCTAGTGAACCTGTAAATTATGTTATTCTGCCTTCATGTACAATGTACAAAAACATATACTGTACACAAAGTCAAGTCTAATTCAGTACAAAACTTATTTGCGACAGTGTATTGCTAACAGTAAACAAGTGTTTTGCTGATTAACACCCAAAGAAATACTTTGCCTGGAATGCTATGAATTGATTAGCAGTACTAGTGTAAACATTCAAAAGATAACTGCATTACTTGACAATTGATCTGTGATATAAATACCATGGTCAGTAGTTATTTGCCAAGCATTTTGACGTCCATGTATTTACTAAATAAGTATATTTATTTGGTCTGCATGATTGCTTTTGTTACATGAAATTTATGACAGCAAATGATGATGTACAACATGTACTATCAGTTTGTTGCCCTGAAATTAAAAGCTTCATGAATGCCTTATATTGTAAGATGTTAATTTTATCTAATTGTGATTCTTGAAAAAATGCTAGATTTCCAAATCAACATCTCAGTAAAATCTGCACCTACTAGCAATTTAGTGTATAAACATTGTAAACCTGTGATGTATGTAGAATCTGCACATACATGTATATGTAATACATGCAAATCTTCAAAATTGGAATATGATGCATCTTATAACACTGGTAGTGTTAGGATGCATGTTTTAATACAAAGATACACGTAACATTACCATGCAAATCGTATTAAACTCTTACAGCATTACGGATAATGATATCTCACATTGTAAACTGCAAATGGCAACAGAATAATTGATACCAAAATCGCCTCTGTAATGAAAAGTTACATATATTTGTAACACAACTGAACAAAAAAACAACATATCTATTTTCTGAATTCACATCTTATGTATAGAAAGAATGAGGATAGTTTTGTGCTGGGGTTCAAACTAGCCTTACAAGTATTAACCCATAGACAATTGGCCTGTCTCAAGCCAGCCAGACATCCACATCAATCTAAATTGTGCACGCATGTACAGTTCTACTACTTACACGTACATTGCACATCTGTGAACAAGCATTTTGAATGGATGCACTAAAACTTGTTGTTTACGCAGAGCATCCTTTTATCTCACAATGAAATGATGTATAGTAATTTAATTAAAGTAGACAATAAAGAAATCATATCAGGAGGTGCATGGGATAAGAGTGTCCTAAGCTAATGTCACAGCCGGGTGATTATGATCAGCTTTACACTCCCATCGATGCTTATTATATGCTGCCAGTTGATATACTGTACATGTTGAATTTGTTAATTTAGTAACAGAAGCTAACAACAATACGACTATTCCCATGGACTCTGTAAATATAAGGTGCATGGAAATGTCATTTCAATTGAAAAAACATACCATGATCGTTTGTCAGAAATTCTATTTACATACGTTTCTGCAGTCACGTTTCAATTGAAGATCAGTTTCGACGTGTTTCGTCTGTTAATCGGTGATTTCGTTGGTATAATTTCGATACGACAACTTTGTTTATCTGATATAATATCATGGACGTATTTTATGACAACTGAAGAGTACAGAAACACGTGTTATTCCATAAATCCTAAGTAAACATATTCCGTACCATTCATTGAAGATTGTCGCCTCAAAGTGTCTGCCATCTTGAAACTTTACGGGCTGAAATGATTGGCTGATTTTAGATCACGTGCCCGGGGTCGTTTCTAACGAGACGAAAGGGGCACTGCATTGGGGTTTCTAACAAAATGTAGATCGACGCGCATTGCCGTTACTACATGCACGGCAGTTATGTCAAGAAAAAAACGCCAGAATTTTTTTATTATTTTTTTATCGCATACCAGAATAATCCTTACTCAGCTTCCATATTTAGGCATAGAGAAATGTATATTTTTTTATGTAACTTACCGATTTTTATGAATCCGAAAGTGAACTCCCGTATTACTGGGTACATAGATCACATTGTAGAGAAAAGCGCATTTAGATCCACAATGTATAAACCCCGTTGCAACAAACCGTGAAACGTATATAGAATTGTACAGAGGAAACACAAATTAATAATACTTCGGAATTCGATACCGCCTGCAAACAACAAATTATACTGCATCTTGCAGCTGTTTCGTCATTCCAGAACTCAAAGAAAAGCCTGCTCAAGTCGGCATTTTCATGGTTCTTTATAGTAATGCTTTAAATAATATTTCGACCTTTATTCTATATTGATATCGCAATAATGTAGGTTTTAGAAAAGGAAGATAATCATAACCTTTAAAAGCTTGTTTTTCCATCGTATTTGTAAGTATGTATGATACTGAAGTTGAATTATTAAATACAACTATTGTTTAAAAAAATTATATATAGTTCATTTTTGTAAGTTTTTTGTGTCAGTTTTGAAATCAAGTTTTTATATACAAAAATGTAATGCTTAATTCGCGAGCGAAACCATTAGAGTTCAAAACTGGATAAAGTTCATGATCATATCTCATAGCTATTCCCAAATCAAACGGAGTGGATAGGAATTAATGAGCTTTTAGCTTGTTTTCCATTCCCGTATATGACTTGTATGTCAAACAACTGTTGCATAAAAACCACAAAAAACCAAAAGCAAGAAAAAAAGTCTTGAAATAAAAAAAAAATTCAAATATTCAAACTAAACTGCATGTATAACGTGTTTATAATCATCATTGGATGTAGGAGAAATAGACGGATGCATGGTTACGCTGCTGAGAAAAATCTCTAAAACATCCTAGTCATGTTATATTACAGTGTGG